AACAATTAGGGATGCATTGGTTGCTGAGAAGGGATTCAGGAGCAATTTTCAATCCACTTGAGTCTGTTATAGAAAGAATCCTTGTCTTTTAGAGTTGGCCTGTCAAGGGTTAATTCATACTCAATTCAAGACCACCAAACCTTGAAACAAAGGACTCAAAAAGAAGAGGGGTTCAGTTGTTTTTCTTTTCACAACCAAAAAAAAAAAAAAAAAAAAAAAAACAGTCATTTGCCACCAGTAGCACATGATTGTTGCCCCCTGGGCTCCCCAGGAACAAGCATTGTCCAGGAGAGGGGATGGATGACACCTTATTCCCATGTTTGTGCTGTACCCTGGGCCTGTAATTGCCTATTGATTTCAAGTTTTGATCCAGCTGATGGCAACCCAAAATTTATTCCCAGGGGGGCTTGTTTGCCTAGTTAAATGTGTTTCTCTGTCTCATTTTAATTGGACTTTCCAGGGATAGGTTGGTAATAATAGGCCTGTATGTTGTGAGACTCGTTTTTTCCATTGCAGTGCTCCACACTGGGGACCATGGCAACTGCATAACACTCGGGATTGTTGCATACATGTTGCTTACACTCAATATCCACTTTGCAGTCATTTTTACGCCTTAGTGAACCACACCAGTACTTGCAGGTGCTTAATTGTGGCTCTGCGACCAGTGTGAGCTGGCCTTTACGGCACTTTATACATATCAAGTTTCCCCAAACCAAGTTACCAAGGAGGAGTATCAGAAAGAGTGTCTGATGGGCAATGTCAGGGCTGTGCATTGTGTTGGTGTGTATGATGTTCTTCCCCCAAGTGTGGGTGTGATAGTTGCAGGCAAGAGGAATTGAACGCTGGTGCTTGTGGTGTCTGATGGGGCAGGATGTATGGGGGGCTCTTGAAGTGGGAGGAAGCTACCACTATGCCATAAAACCATACATGTCAAGCAGTGTGCATAGCTATTTAAACTGAGTATGTAGGAAAATTTTGTGCACCTGATCTCATCCCACATGAAAGATTGGCCTCTTTAATCACTCAGACCACAATTGAAAGTATTGCACCCAGATTGGCTTCTGAGAAGACAGCAAAGGGCCCAAGGCAAATTGTCAATCAACATCAGTCTCCTTGAAATCAAAATCAACATTTATTTCACAGTCATCAGCTTCCAAAGAATCTTTGAAAGCTCAACAGTTGAGTAGCTGAAAAATTTACCAAGACAGAAGGGTTTTTTTTTCTCTTTCCATAAGAAAATGTATCTCACTAGCCATTGGTGGCACATACCTCAGGTTTTGGAAAGAATGGGGGAATCACAACTAATTTGGTTAGTTTGGTCTATAGGGTTGACAGCACCACATATCAAAAGGCAGTTGGTTAAACAACTCCCAAGGATCTGTCAACCACTCCCAAAGACCATTTACAGATTTCCATTTTGAGTTGTTCCCCCAAATGGATGGCCAAAAAAAGCTAGCCAGCCACAAATTATACTATGTTATTAACATTGTTTTACTCCCCACTACCCACCACATGTTTAAACCACCCTTATATCAGTATTGACAGCCTCAGATAGCTCTGAATATTACCACTCTCTTCCAGGATTGGTTGCTGTAGCTCCCTTTTCATAATTGAATGATTTGTCTTGTTTTCACAATTGATTAATATATCTCACATTTTGCTTACATTTGAAATCAATCAAAATATTTCACTCTCAGATTGATCAAAACAACTTGTGCTGTATATTGTATGTTGATTAGCTATTCAAAGTGCAGAGATCATCAATTGTTTCATTTCATTCTCATGGTTTTGTTGAGATGATGATTCTCACATTGTGATCTTTCTTTGATTATATGCAGATATGCTTCTACCAATTAGCAACACTGCAACCACTGCGCTGCACTGCAAACAAAAAGTGGCAAAATAGCGCAGTGCAGTGGTGTGGTAACCCATACCTTTCCATATCCCCTATTATTTCCCCAATGATGGAAAGATAATCTGTCTGGTTTATGCCATTCTCCCCCAGTTCCAATTTTGCAGTCAAACCTTTGGGGAGCGGTGAGTGGTAGGTGGTCAACCTGTACCAACATTCCTGTAGTACTTTGTTGATCAATTTGGGCTGTGTGAGATCAAATCCTTTGTTGGTCCTGTTGATTTTAAATCCCACCATGCTTGTGAGACCCTTGTTCCATTTAATTTCCAGGTTTCCACAGAGCTGCATTTTGAGTTGTTCTAGTGCTTCTTTTAAAGAACCCGTCACAATCCCATTGTCCACGTGTACCTATATGATGGATCTGTCAGACTTGTTACTTGGAGTATACACAATAGAGTCGTAACAGCTGGATTCATACCCCAGGGCGGCCAGGGTCCCACTCAGATGCTTCCACCAGCATCTGGATGCTTGCTTGGTTCTGTAGAGTTCCTTTTCCAACAGACATGCTTTGCCATCTTCAATCTTGAGTCCCTCCGGAGCGGCTACCCATACTTCTTTGTCAATGGGGGCATTCAAATAGGCGGCCACTAGAGATGGTCACTTTGCATCCGGATATCCGCTCTTAATTTCAGCAAAATTGCCTAATTCTGCTGAAATTAAGAGCGGATATCCGGATATCAGCGGATATCCGGATGCAAAGTGACCATCTCTAGCGGCCACAAAATAAAAATTGTAGATGGGCCAATTATTCTTTGCTGCAATTGTGAGTAAGATCCTCATTGACGTGAAGGTAGCGGTTGGAGCAAAAGTGTGCGCAAAATCGGTTCCTTCGTTCTGTTTTTATCCTTTCGCAACATATCTAGATTTGAAACGGATGGATCCATCATTGTTGATCTCAAAAACCCATCTCACCCCCAACTTGCAACAATTCCCAGGCAGACAACAGACTTTCCACACAGATTTACGGTGCAGGTTTTCCAATTTGGTGTTGATTGCCTTCTTCCACTACGCTGCTTCTGGGGATCGCATCACTACATTGAAAGATAAAGGTGTTGCTTTGTTGCCGTCTGCACAGTCTGCCACTACTGTATCGACAATTGTTGAAGGTGTAATCCCTGTAGAAGGGAATACAAGCAGCAATGGCATCAGTGTTGATGTGTCTGCTGCCACACCTGCTGAGCATGGTGTATCAGAAAGCAATAAAAGAAGTAATGCACCAGAGGACTGGAGCATTCCCTTTAAGAAGAAAAAGTAATTCTTGACTTTCATCCCTTGAAAGCAAAAATATTAATTTCCCCAGAAGAAAGTACAGTTGACTCCCTATTCACCCATACCCCTTGGTGGACCAAATTAGCTATGGGTTAAGAGGATCATTCATGGGTTAATATTGAAAGTCTCTATTAAGCCATGAAATCATGGGTAAATAATGACACCCTGCTAACCCATGATTTCTATGGGTTAATGGCATCTATGGCTCTCTTATGCCACATTATACATGGGACAAGAGAGATGTATTTTAGTGACTGCTTGCTGAGATCGGTGTAACTTTGTATTGCAAGAGAGTATTTTTTTGATGCTCCAATCAAAACATCACAAACATTTTAAGACTTGTAAATTGCAGGAATTGATGAAAAAAGAAACATAGGGACTGATATTGATAGGAAAACAAATGGGAATCATTTGGAATTGACTGGTTGTAAAAATGAGGTGATTGTTGTTTGTTGCAAGCTGCATCAATCAAGTGATCTGTAAGTTGCTTTGAGTAGATTTCCATCAATTGGTTGAGTTTATTGGCAATCTCACTTGTGTTGCTCTTGATGTAGTTGTTGATGATTGAGATGGCCTTAAAGACCACTTTTGCAGTTGGTATAGGGTGGGGTGGGTCATCAGATCTACTTTTGTCATCATCATTGTTGTCTTCTTCTTTGGTTCTTACATTCTTGACCAATCAAATGATCTAAGTGAGAAAGGAGATCAATAAAAAAGGCCTAGTGATGAGCCAACAGCAAATTTCAATGAATTTCTGGCACAAGAACCTAAATAAGCCTGGGAAAAATGTCCCTATCAACCCATGAAGTTCCAGTTTTTCCCCCAAAAGTGGTATGGGTTACTGGGCTATAGGGGCTTATGGGTTAAGCCCAAATTTCCCTGCCCACCAAATTGGTGGAACAATTTTTCCATGGGTTATGAGAATCATGAATTAATAGGTATATGGGGTAATAGGGAGTTGACTGTACACCAGTACTTTCCTCCTGGCTAAAATGTCTCTTGAAGCATTCCCATTTAGAATGTCTGCTGCTTGGACATTTGCTCAGCATTCATGGAGTATAAATACCAGTTCCCTTTTTCCCCCATTTGTTTCTCTCACTCACTTCATTATCTTATCTTATCCACTCACTTACACACACACACATACACACACATACCCCCATCATCAACTCACAACAACTACCACCAATACCATTGTCCCCTCACTTTATTATCTTAAAAATACATCAGAAATAAATAAACCACACCCAAAACCTTACCCCAACTACAGCGCATTATCAGTATGGACAACATGTCTAACTCATCGGCCAGCCTTTACCAACCTACACCTCGGATACTGTTGAACAACAGTAACTACCATGTCTGGTCCACTCTCATGGAGAGTGAACTCGACAACATATACTGTCTTGAAGTGACATCTGATAGCGCGGATGAACGATTGCCAGAAAAGGAAAAGAAAGGTTACCACCTTATTGTTCGCTACCTGAGCAAAGAGGTACTTGAGTGCAGCGCATCCACATTCCTTACAATGGAGCTGGACACATGGAGTGTCGATTGAGCAATCAGCATATCCACTGAACACCCTACAGGAGTATTTACTTTCAGTGCCAGTTGAATTGAGAGCGAATGCAGCTTTTTCAGCAGGGCATTCCCCACATTTGAGACTGACACCAATTACCAGGCTGAAATGGAGGAAGGGCACAAGGGCCATGCTGGCTGCCGAACAGATGTACATGGTTCAAAGATGTGATGAGGGTGCTCCTGGGATTTGGGTTTTTGGTCAGGGGCAGGAATAGTTGAACGGGCTCCAAAAACTTGCATTTGCGGTTCAAAAAAAAACCCTCAGAAATCAAGGAGGAGTTCGTTTATTTCATTTGTTGTTCACTAAAAAAAGGAGGTTGAAACTAGAGAACAAGACATATGTTTAGAAGAAGAAGCCATTGTTGTCCCCATGGAATGCCGATGACTATAGTCCCTGACAAAAGACCTAGGTATCTGAGAAAAGATAAGACTAAACACACAAGCAAGAAGTATATAAAACAAATTGATAATTGGCGTAAGAAAACATTTAAGATTGAGCGAGTTTCTCGGCCCAAGTTTTTGCGCTGACCGAGACGACAGGCACAGAGTGAGAATGATTAACTGGCGTGGTGGTGGTGGTGGTGGTCGTTGGTGTTGGAGTCGTAACAGTAGAGGTAGGAGCGGTAGTATTAGTAGCAGGTAGAGAAGAGTGAGTGGAAGCTAATTGTCCTCGCATATATCTCGATTTTTTCTCGGGTGACCCGTTCGGAGAGGGACACGCGGCAATGGAGATGCTTTTATTGAGTCTAGATCTGTTGTGCTGATACAGAATTTTGGGCTGCTGTTGAGCAACGACTGTGGTACTTCCTGCGGGAGTCTTCTCATCTACAAGAAGCGGTAGCCAAAGTGTGCATTAGCCATTCTGCTTGAAATTAACTAACGCCTGTATAAATCTATAGACGGAGTATCCCGGAATCGCGTGACCATGAATCTGAATCCGCATGAGAAAAAAAAAGACAAATGAAATGATGTGGATAACACTTACCGAGTGCGACCGTTTTACCGGAATGATTCCTTCGAACAAGTGAAGGATTCATAGATTTGAAATCGTCCATTGATCGCCATTTTGATTGTCTGCGATTCTTTGAAGCTTCTTTGTGAGCTGAGTCATTAGATGTACCACGAGAGTTGGAAGTCGAGGGTATCAAGTTGGGTTTCTTGCTCGCACTCCTCGATCTGACGATTTGGAATTGATTGGAATGCTCGATGGCGCGTTTCTGAGTTTCGCGGTCGATAGATTTGATCTCCTTTTCACATTCACTTAGCTGACGCGTTAACTCTTCGATCTCTTCTTCGGTTGGTTTCAGAGTCTTCTCTTTAAGATCTCCTACTCTTTGTATACTCTCTTCCCAGCGAGTCTTTAAAAGTTGATTGTTCTGCTTGAGGGTATCTAATTTCCGTTGATTTTTCTGCTCTAATGCGTTATACTCTTCCGTTTTGCGTTTCAGTTTTTCTTTCTGATCCTCGATCCTTTTTTCAAACTCAACCATCTTGGGTTCATCGTAGCTCAGCAGTGCGGCCGACTTGGTCACGTTCTCCTCATCCAAACGTTTGATCAGCTGTTCAAGGTCACATAGGCTTTGCTTTAACGGGGCATTCTCTTCAATTGCTTCACGCAATGCCAGAGCTTGTTTCTCAACTTCTGTTCGCATGGCCTGATCTTCTTCATTCGTGTTGTCTGATCGAGGGGCGGGCAAAGTGCTTGCATCAAGTGAGGTTTCCGTGCTGGTGATTTCGGCAAAGCTAGATTCGAGGGGCGAAAATGAATGTGATGAACTTCGGACCACATCTGAAGTACAAGTCTGAGTTGGAGAAGCTGGGTCATAGGATGTATACGGGGGTGGAGGTCCATCGGGGTCCATGTGAGGAATTGATGTCTGTGATCGAGCCCTGGCGTCTGATAGTTTAAGGCCTTGATAACCCAATTTGAGCGAACATTGGCGCAGGCGTGTACGGTTTAATAGCAAAATAAGAAAGAAAATCAGCGAGGTATAAGAATCATTCTAAAAGGATAAATTTCAGACTAACGATGAGAGTGTTGCCTGGCTGGGGGTTGGTCATTCAGTTCAAGCCTGGTGGTAGATGTTGAGTCGAGTTTTTGTGGTAGGTTATGCTGGATATCATCAGTAGGTTGGTTACGTAGGCTCGAGTTGGAGGCTAAGTTGAGTGCTGGATGTTGATCGACCAAGTTCAGTTCAAGGTCTACGTCATAAACCGTGCCCGGTTCTAGTCCATAGATCAAGATCGTGAGTGAAGCAAGCGAGGTACCATCCTGGTCTGGATGACTAGCTCGATTGCTAGGCTGGGATTGATCAAGAAGGAGTAGTTTAGACCATGGTTGAGAGTTGAGGTTGATGAGTGGATGGATGAGTTGGTTGTTTAGATAGGAGGATGGCAATGAGACGGATATCGACAGTGATGTGGAGGTGATCTGAAGCAGATGGAATTGATCGGAGGAATCAAGCTGAAAATGATGATCCCCCTCCTCAGTTGGGGTAAGGCTTGGTCGAAGGGTCGAGTTGCCGGATGATGATGATGATGTGGATGATGACGATGATAAAGAAGGGGATAGGTCTACAGCTGGAGAGGAAGCTGGGGTTGACTTGGGTGAGGATAGTAATGGGATGGTTTGGAAGGGAAACCATTGATTATTGTAAATCGACCTCAATAAGTGCTGCATTTCTGACTGCTGGTTGTAGGGATTGTTGTCCGGTTGGGCGATTTTCTCAGGGATGTTAGATATTTTGCACTCTTAAATGAGCTGACTTCGTTGATCGGCTATGTATGCGCTCGGTTGGAGGGGGGGATGTTGTCTTATATGGGGATTCTGCAACGGGTTTCGCCGGCGTGTGATGGATGACGTGCGGCCGTCTGATCTGTCGAAGCTCTCATATAAAGAATGTCAATCGTTGCAACTGAGCAGTTTAGCTTGAAAGGATGGGATCGGTTTGGAAACAGAATCAGCCTCAAGCAGACACATCAAATAGTTTTGGATCGTATAAGATATCTCTGATCGAAAATGGATTGTATGTATCTCACCAGTGCTTTGCCAAATTATTAGTGATGACTGGATGGGCTGCTCGTTTTATAGAGCAGTGGTTCGTAGATGGGTTCGTTCGCTCGTGATCGGTTGTTCGTGAGTTCAAGATCAGAACCTGTTATCGAAGGTTTTGGGATGGTCAGTCAGTCATGAGAAGAATGAAAGATGGCTAAGTCTTACCCTGACTTTCTAGTGAGCTTGCTTATAGAGCTGGCAGGGGCCTGGAAGTTCCTTCGATTCGAAAACACCAACCAAACCAAACCAAACCAACAAACTTCCCATCAATCTGGATACATAAATACATACAGGGCAAATTAAAACACCCACCACACCCGGAAACAAACAGAGGCTATCTAGAGAAAAGCTCAAAAACAGATTGCTGGAACTGATCCACTTTGGGATTCTCAAACACTCACCCCACTTCAAAAAATTAAAAAAAAATTAAAAAAGAACTCTTCCACTTGAGTACATTTGTGAGACCATAGAACTCTTAGAAAACTCAACTTGAGATTTGAGTGAAATAGCTGGAAACATCCATCTTATGCCTATGGAAAAGAATGGAGGCCTTGACAGCAGCAATCAGGCTTTGATCCAAGTTTTAAATCACTGACAGGGTCTCTAGACTCTATTTTGAAGAAAGGCGATTATACCCCTCCTTGAATTGAGTGCTTCCATTTCTGATAGTGACGTAGATATATGCTTGGGGTTTGTGATCTGAACATAACCATATCTCACTACTAGCGCAATGTCTTGACCCCAGCCAAGTGGCACATGACTCAAGAGCCATGATCTTGCCAAATGAGAATTGCCAGCTGCACATGTCCTCAGTGAAAACAGATCTGAAAGCGTTGACCAATCTGCATGCATTGATAATCCATAAAGCATTCTGAAAAAATCTACAAAACAAGAAAAACTCTTGGATAGAACATATAAATACGTATATTGTGACTGATGCTCATGACAATCCAAATGGAGACAGTTGGATCCAGCCTTCATAACAACTTGATCTTAATCTACATGGCGGAGAAGGTACCGCCAACCTATAACGAACACTTACAAAGCGCGATCAAGAAGTACGGGAGAGGAGTCGGTACAAAGATGGGAAGACGAAAACTGGTGAAGGAAATGATAGCTGGAAGAAAGTGAAGATGGCATCCAGTCCACTCCATAACTGATGAAATCAGACGACAGAACAGCAGGAATCGGCCATAGTACTGAGAAGAAAAAAAAACGATTGAACAAATTTGTTTAGGGCGTCAATGCGATGTCGGATGCCCAACGTTTGATTTCGTCTTCCTTATCCTTCTCCTGATAAATATTAGAGGTATTACTCCAGGTGTTATTGCAGGACGGAAGATTCTTGGTTGAATGCGTCGATCGTCGCAAATTGTTGGGCAAAGACTGAGTTCGTCGGATACGTGGGCCACTTTCATCGAAGTTGATTGGAGGACTCTCGTGCCGACTGAGACAAGCCACACATGAGCTAGTGGACTGTGTCTCCAAAGCATCCGTGCCGCTGTCGTGGTGCGAGCTGGCTGACAACGACTGGGCAGAGGTGGTAGGCGTAGCCGGAAGGGCCGGGCGCCAGGCAAGACGTACAAGATCGTGTTGTCTTCGCTCTTCGTCGATCAGCCGATTAACCACCGGTTTGATGTGTTCCGCTGCGCTGGTCCAAGGGGGTCGGCGACTCTGGGTAAATATCAAAATATCCGCCGAATATTCCGAAAGTCCATCCGAATAATCGTCCTCAGAATCGCTACAAGTCATCAACTGCAAAGTAGTTCGGTGAGCAGATCAAGTTAGGGGCGGCATCAAGAAGAACACAAAAAAACGCTAATTGTTGATTACTCACAAATCTTGGAGTAAACATGATTTGGTAAGTAGGAGAAGGTATCTTGAGAGAATAAAAACTATCGTCGTTATCTTCAAAGGGATCGGGAGTTTTACGGTCCTCTGAAGGAGAAAGTTTCAAGTCTGATGGGCGATGGGATTCCCTCTGTGGTGAAGATGCGAGTGGAAGCGCTGGATCCAAGCAAACCCCGTCTGGGCAAGACACTGTCAGTCGCGGTACAACAGAAGTCATATTTACCGAGGGAGGAGTAATCTATATAATAAAGTATTGTGGAATCTATGATCAATTGCCACAAGGATACCGGAACAAGTTGACGATGACAACTGTTTCTGGGAGGGGAATGGCTAGAGATGGGTTTGTAAAACGATCGAAAGACCCCTTAATTTAAGCCAACATCAAGAACCCTCAGAGTAAATCGTGTACGGACACTTCCACTCATCTTTATGTCATCAAAAAAAAAAATTAAACGAACCATCAACTTATAATCCACAGCGAATCGGAAAGATATTTTATACGAACGATCAAAAATCTAATTCGTGCACGCTTCGCAATATTGGCCGATGGACCATTCGTGCTTACAATCAAGCCAAGCTTGAATATTTAAGTTACGTTTAATAGATGGGCGGGAGATCGTGTTTGTTTGGATGGTTCTAAAAGAAAGAAATGGTCAAGATGCGCATCCTTATATGTAGCCTGATCCTCCGGAATGCAAGCTCGGGACACTTGTCAAACCCGGCCATCATACAGCCGGTGGAGCTCACTTATTATATATCTGGTGTATCACCGAGAAATAATCAAACTTGTGCTCATTGGATCAGCACACTATATAAACATCGCCTTTCGATGTGTAGTTTGCCCCATCAAATCTGGAGAAATCTTGTCATTGATCGGGCAGGGAAAATAAGGCTATGTAAAAGACAAGCAGATCGCCACATTGTTATCAGGCAGCTGAACTTGCAGACAGACGCCGCACACGTTGTGGGCTTTATTTTTTTTTACGGAACTTGCATAAAAGCTTCGAATTTTTTACAAAAGCTTTGCGAAATTTTCGTAAGTTTTGAAACTTTCTGAAGCCAAACCTTAAAAACACCCCCGTAGTGTATTTTTAGCGGAACTTGCATAAAAGCTTTGAATTTTTTACAAAAGCCAGTAAGAAATTCTTATCTTGAGTGGATGGATCCCTTTTTGTCGAGGGCCAGTCAAATTGGACCAGTATCATTTTGCTTCAAGAGATTTGAAATTCCACAAAAGAAGGGGGAGTAGTGGAGATGAAAGGTTGTAGAGATTTGGCAAGTACCATACTATTACAACTGAGTGGGATGTGGGGGGGGGGGCGGGTTGTAAAAGATTGACTGAAAAAGTCATGGCAGAAGGTTATGAAATATCTACAGGAAAACTGTATAATCTATTTTCTTTTTCTTCTTTTTTTCCAAAAACAGAAGCAGTAAGTATGTATCTCATTTTCTGCCAGTGTCACATGTCTGAGAAGGAACCTGGAAACCACCAAAATTTTATGTGGGTAATGTAAAATCAGGATTGTTCCAAATTTCATACATCAGTGGCACCAGGGAATGGCCTGTTTTGGATCATTCACACGTGTTTTAATGGGTATGCTTGGGGTAAAATCAGTTACAATTTCCCAGATCAAGTGAGGAACATATCTGATGAACTGCAGGGACCTGTCAGTTCTGGTGGGTTTTCACTTGATTCTGACCAATCTTCATACTGTCTTTTGCAAAAGTCTTGGCCAATTTTTGATCACACTTCATGTTTTCAAAAGACAATTTTTTGCTTTGTTAATTTACAGCAGTTCCCAGAAAGCTTGATTTCAGGGACCGGTCAAAATTGCAAAAAATAAGAATATAAAAACTTTTTTTGCACCTTGCAACCAATGATTCAGAAATAAAAATGAAATACTCTATGATTTGATGTGCAGGTGCTAAGTCAAGAACCCTTATATCTCCATAAATCATGAGTTAATAATGACACATGTTAAAATTTTGAACTTGGGCATAAGAGGTGAAGGGCCAAAAAAAGGGAAGAACCCTTTTTTGGGAAAGGCTCACGGAAAATGAATGAAAGAACCAATGAGTTTTCATTCACAAGTAAGAAGCCAGGTTTAAATAGACTAAGTACAAGTGAGCAAAATGTGGTAATGTGGTAGAAATGAAAATGAATAAAAAACCATAATGAATAAAAGCTGAGAGAAAGAGACATGGGTTTTTGGAAGAAACAAACCGGTCAAGGCTTCTCAGTCTCTTTTAGACAAGCCGGATGAGTTAATCAAAAGAAAACATGTCATAATTCACAAACATTTAGAGTTGATAATTCTAAGTGACCAGTTTTTAATAAATCAAACAAAAGTATCAGGAAAGAGAAGAAATCATTGTAGAGACATGAGTTGTTGAGAAAAGCTAATTACTTAGGGTTCATATTTGACTCAGAAGGGGCTTAATAACAACAGAAAACAAGCTACTTGATAATTATAGACTGGTCTGATTTTTGATGAATAGAAAGAGATGAAGGTCAGAGAGAGACAGAACTGAGAAAAACTCAACAACACATCCTCATTCATCCATGGCTTTCATGGATTATTAGGTAAAATTTGTTTACTCACTTTTTTATGAGGAGAGAGGAATCCTACTATTAGCACCCAGAAAAACGGTTCCACTGAAGTTTATGTATTAATTAGCGGGGTTCACAATAGTGTTTTTCGCTTCTTGCACCCTTTTTTTTTTGCTCAAGCACTTCTGACATTAATTTTGTCAGCAAAAATTCAAAATCCTGCACTATTTATGCCTGCAGCAGTGCTGCAGCTTCTGGTAAGAACCCAGAGAGCTTCACGCAAGAAGCTATTGTGAACCCCGCTATTGAGACTTGCCTGTAGTGAGCTTGATATTCTTCTGTACTACAGCCAGAGAAATTTGCAATATACAACCAACAATGGGCCACTATGCTACACAGCCCCTTTTGCCCAAAGAATGCTAGTGTAGCAGCTTTTTTTGAGCAGAAATTGTTTAGTATTAGTGGTTTTTTGCTACACAGAAATCACACAGTTTTTTGCTATGCTAAACTGCACTACAAGCTGCTAAAAGCCACTAACCAGCACGCTAGTGCAGAATAAGGGGGCATTGTGGGGGCCTGCACCCATAGTTCTAGCGCGGACACCGTGGAATTTTGCTGTGTCAATGCACTAAATCTTAGCAGGATTCTGCTATGCCACACCTCACTAACACTACAGTTGGTGTAATTGGCCCACCCTTGATAAAACCCAATGATCATTTTCCACAAATACTTCATTTTTTTTATCCAGATTAAATATTATTCCTTTCCTTGTCCGATCTCCCTGTCTATTATCTTCCTCAACCTTCACTCTTCAACTCTTCACACCTATTTGGAGGAATTGTTTCTTTCTCTTCAATTCTGAAAGCAAAGAAATCCTCTTCTCTTCAAGTCATTTGATACCATGTTCACAAGCTTTTCTCATTTCTAAACATACTATTCCAAGAAAATGGAATAGACTGTAATAACAACATTTGATAACACTGTGTTATCAAATGTTGTTATTTAAGGATGGCAAACAGACAGGCTTGGGCCACCCGTGAGCCGGCCTGCTTGGGGCCATCATCTTAGCAGGCCGGCCTGGCCTGGCCTGGACCCATTTGGCAAAAGGGTTGGGCTGCCCTTGGGCCGCCCATGGGCCTGCAGCATGGTTGACTCTTAGATTCACCAAATTGGTGATTGTTGCTGTGGGAAACCTGATTGGGGGAGGCCCATCAGGCGCCTGATGGGCAGCCTGGCCCAAGGTGCGGGCCGGGCTCAATGCAGGTTTTCTTAATTGGGTTCAGGCCAAGCCCGGCCAAAATCCAAAAGGGCTTGGGTGGCCCATTGGACACCCGGCCAAATTGCCATCCTTATTGTTATTGCAGTCTTGTTCATATTATGTTTATTCTTTTCATTCTCAATTTCCTCTCAAATCTTTTCTTTATTTAGTTTCTTGACTTCTTCATCGGATTTCTCTTTAAGTATGGTTTGATAAATTCCTGAAAGCTCATCCTTTATACTTTTGCATCTCAGTTATAAGTAGGGAGTCAACCTTGTCTCATGTTGAAATGAAAACCAAGATCAAACTGGGCACACTTTTATCCTGATTGCATCATGAGCTTGACCTAACTTGAAGCCAAATGCTGATTTGAGGCAACTTCTCTAAATTTAGAGAAAGCTCAATTCATTCCTTCATCCAGAGGTCATTACATAATTGTACCATTTTTCCATCACCAAAAATGTAGTATGTATTGTCCATCATAGGTTTTGTTTGTACAAAATCCATCAAATCCAGTGTTGGGATTTAGTCAGAGCTTTACATTCTTGAGCCAACACAAGCCTAGGAGCCCTACAACATGTATGCTCCTAACATGGGAGGAGCGTCCCGTTGGGATGCCGTCCAGGAAGGTCAAGAAGGCAATGAAATATTTAAGGCAGCAAAGTAGTACCCCCATGCTCCAATTGGGTGATCTCTCCTCCACTTCAGCAGCGTTGTAAGCAGATGTGTCAGAGTTGATCGAGTTTTGATCAAAAATGATCCAGGAGTGACTGGAGTCAGTCCATTCATTTGCTCCCGTCTCATTGATGAAATATTTCAAGCAAGTCGCGAGTTGTACCAATTACTAAGCAGCTGTTATACCACTTCAAATCCGTTGCGAAGCTACCCGACAGTAAGCACTGTGGCAGGAAGAGAGCAGCAAGATATCGCAGAAATGCAGTTGGTTTGCCGATTTCAAAGGGGAAAAAAACCTGTGAGAAAAGAACCAAAATGTACCGATTGTCATTTGCTCAGAGAAGTTGATGCTTGGCAAATAATCAGATGCGTAAAACGATTGCAAAGTTATTTCTCTTTGTATATATATGCGTGTTGCATCACGAACGAATCAACATAGTTTTTGTTAATTTTTATTTTTGGGAAACGGGTCGACTTTAAGACGGGATGTTCTTGTTTTACCGGCGTGGGTTTAGTCTACTGATTCAAATGCGGTGGTTTCAGCTGGTGCAGCACCCTCATCCACATCAAAACTGTCTACTAAAGCAGGTACATCATCGTCATCGTTGTTGGCCCCCGCAGCCATGTTTGGTGGCTTGTAAGACATTGAATTGGCTTGGTGCAAATCCTGTGAAGAGGAGACAGAGTTTGAGCATCGGTACACACGAGGGGAAGGACAAAGAAATGGGAGAAAAGAGCGAGGCACGAACACCAAGGGAAGACGCCAACCGACGCAAGTTGGCTATTGATTCAGCTCCCAATTGTGGCAAGATTCCAGGGACAAGCTCGGTCAAGTCCTTCTCCTGGCCGTTTCCATGAATCGCAAACGTATTTACATTGGCGGCGCCGTGAACTATTCGAGTTTAGCAAGGAAACGCTTCAAACTGTCAAATAAACCAATACAAGGCGTATGCATGATTGAGGATGGAGAGTTATGATGATATACCTTTAGGGTTGGAGAAATGTAGGATCTTGCTTCCTTCGTCTTTGAACATGTTGACCTCTTCCATTCCGATCATCGGCTGAACGTTCAATTTTTTCAACGCGGCTTGAAGTTTCTTGTCATCACCAGCTGGTCCTCCATTAGCTGTGAAACCTTTTGGTTTCTTGATCACCTTCCGTCGGGGTTGACCCTTGCTGCCTATTTAGGAGAATCGTTAGCGTAAGCAGAGGGAGAGATGGAGCGAGATGAGAGGTGGATGACTGACCGACTTTGGTTTGAGCTTGAAGCTGTTTGAGTTTTTCGTTATTCATTCTGAATCGATGACTGGGATCTGTACCAAAGACGAAAATCGAAGTACGAAAAAAAACGATCGAGGAAAGAGGAAATGTAAGATTAGGTAATTGTTGGTCAAGCCGGGGTTTTTGAAGATGGATGATCGAAGAGAAGTACAAGAAAATTACTTTTGTTTTTAATGAACAAGGCAAGTGTCTTCTTCCGTCAATGGAACCGATCGGAATCAGGACAGTTTTCAAAGAGTATAATCATGAGACTTGACAAGCACTATATTTTCAGGGCATGTTACCCAGGGCAATGCAGAGCCAGATCGGATGTTGGATGCCGAGTGACAGGATGATAGAGAGAAGGTTCGATGGTACTCACTTGGTGTATTACTTGACTTTCAGAGTCCGATGGTCTTGAAGGGATCTATTAAGGGAATGGGCTGGTCGAACTGGGGGGGTGTGGTTCTGCGGCTGCCGATCGAAGACCATTGGCTGACCCACCCCCCGGAGGAAAACTCAAATATGTACATACATAGTAAACTAACAACGCCGGGGTAAGTTAAGCTAACACAACAGAACAGGTAAGTTAACTAACTTGACTGGCACCCAACTCCGACACCAGACACAACAAAGTACATATTCACCACAAACAAAATATCCCAATATGCTGCCGGCCATGAACACGAGTAGGAAGATAACTAACCCAAGACTCACTCGACAACTCAAGCAATCCTACAAACTACTCCATCCTACATCGGTCAGTCGAACTTCAGATGCAACAAAACCTTGTATTAACACATTCCTCAATTTTTTTTGTCTAGATCAGATTCATCAGTCACCTCACTCATCCGGACCATCCAGTCCCGCAAAATGTTCAGTAAGCATAACTTATCTCACAGTTGGAATGAGAAAAACAAAACATCATTAACCTGGTACTTTTTTTTTTTTTTTTTCGGTTGGACGCAGACATCGAATTGAAAGATGGTCGAAATCTATGCTCACACCGTACGCTCGACCGCCGATGATACTCTCGCATGGAAAGGGATGTAAAGTCTGGGACACTGAAGGTCGTGAATATCTAGATTTCACCGCCGGAATCGCTGTCAATGCTCTTGGCAAGTCTCTCCTTTCCATCTAAATTACCCGTCCGTGTATTAATCTGTTTTTCTTTTCTTTTCTTTTTCTTGTTATTGACTTCTCAGGCCATGCGGACAAAGAAGGTAAGCATGGAGTCTATGAAAAATCAAACAAAACTTCAAGTTTTAGGGAAATAAGCAAGAACTTACTCATACATTCGAACCCACAAAAGTCGCCGAAATCATGTATCAACAGGCCCAAAAACTAGTACATTGTTCGAACCTCTATCATAACGACCAAGCCGGTGAACTAGCCTGTACTCTGGTCAACCTTACCAAAAAATTTGGCGGATTGGGCTATCCCCCTCTCGCCGATTCATCCTCGGTTTCCGCCCATCAAGAAAGCCCTCAGGATCATAAAGTCTTCTTTGCCAACTCCGGCGCAGAAGCTAATGTAACTTGAACTATGTATTCTCATTCACACAAAACAATCATGCGGGTTTTTTTGATGCTACTTTCTGGGTTTTCAATTTCAGGAAGGCGCTTTAAAATTTGCAAGGAAGTGTGGGAAGATTGAAGAGCCCACTGGGTCCAAGCACGAATTGGTGAGCAACCCAGAAACATCCAAAACAAAATGTGCAACTAGTTCTAACGGCCCATCAAATGTCTTGTATTTAACAAAAGATCTGTTTTACAAATGGCTTTCACGGTCGGACGTTTGGAGCCCTATCAGTGACCAACCAACCAAAGTACCAGCTTCCGTTTGCACCCCTACTACCTGGAATCAAGCCTGGTAACTTGAATGACATCTCTGCCTTAACCGAGTTGATCACCCCAAATACGTGCGGAGTGATTGTAGAACCAATTCAAGTCAGTCCATCTAGTACTATTTTACTCGGTTGATTTGCTACACCAAATCTGAAGATATCAAATCCTTCTTGTTTATGCTCATCTTTTTTTGTTAGGGAGAAGGTGGTATTCTGGAAGCTTCAGAAGAATTTTTGAGAGCATTGAGGCATCGATGTGACGAAGTCAAGGCGGTGTTAATCTATGATGAGATCCAAGTTAGTATATACAACAAACCGGATTGAATAGCTCGACCGATCCGACCCGGTGACTCAAAGTGTTGGTTTTTCTTGTGATCACTCGGCTCTCACTCTAGTGCGGACTGGGAAGGACCGGGAACCTTTGGGCCCACGGATCTTTACCCACAGATTGTCACCCCGACATGCTTACAATGGCAAAACCCTTGGCTAACGGTGTCCCCATAGGCGCGGTTATGATGCGAGATAACGTAGCCAAGAAGATTGCAATCGGTTAGTTGTCAAATCTCGGCATTTTTTTTTTGGCTTGGCAATTCTGATGGGCCTCTTGCTTTGTTTTTATTTGGCGCAAACAGGTGATCATGGTACCACATTTGGGTAAGTTGTTCTTAATCCAGATGCCACAAATCTCTCTTCATGGGCGTTTTTCTCACTTTTTCCTAATATTCTCTATGGGCACACTTGGACTTGATGACCTCAGAGGAGCACCTCTACAGACAGCGATTGCGAAACACGTTTTGGAAAGGATTTGCAAGGAAAGTTTCATGGATCAAGTCCGAGGGACAAGTGAAGTATTGAAGAAAGAATTGAACCGATTGGTGGCTGAATATCCCAACATACTTACCGGACCGGTGCGAGGGAGAGGCTTGATCATGGGCTTAGAAGTCAAGAATCTCCAGTCGGAAGATCACGCCAAGCAGAGTGAACCAACAATCTCGCAGATCATTAACTTGTCTCGTCAGAACGGCCTCCTGTTATTGAGCTGTGGTCAATCTATCATCAGATTCGTCCCCTCCTTGATCATCTCTCACTCTGAAGTTTCTCAGATGATTCTAATACTCGAAAAAGTCTTGGCACATTTAAGCTCACCCAAAGTTTGATCGTCCATCTCCCTTTCCTTGTCTAGCCTTTTTCATTCTTGTTAACAGAAAAGCTATACCTATTTCTTTTTTTCATTTCTTGCAAAACACATTACCCTTTGTATCTCCCTTCAAATAGAACAACGGAAATACTTGATGGATTTGTTCTACTAGGCAATACCAGGTGTTTTCCTGTTGCAACCAGCTTTGGTTCATGTGCACTTTCATGTTGGGTTGTTCATGTCCACCAGTAATTAAGCCATCTCGACGGGCCTCGTCAAGTTAGGCACTGGGTCGGACGATGCGGACACCCAGTTTAGTAAACTTGGAAGTAAATGCACTGGAGGAAGTTGCTTCTTTAGCAGGATGCTATTTTAGAAGGCATGTGGTGTTATGTGCGTTACTAGAATAGTTCTTTGGTATGGTTTCAAATCACAATCTCTTGTTCCCTGCAGTGCAAGGAAGCTCTGTCACAATGAAGTATGGCATGATGCCGCCGGGTGCGTGTCATAGCAATCTGTGGCGATGGCAACTGCCCAACTTTCTGTAGCATAGTTGGCAGCTCTCTGCTATCATAATAGATGTGTCAACAAAAAATCCTATGAAACGCAATCTGCATGTTTGAGATGAATTCAAAGAAAGAAATCACTTTTCTTTTGAGAAAATAATAATATGTAACGCTCCATCCACACCTTCACACTTTATAGTAATTGGACTGAGTAGGGTAGCAATTATAGTAACAAGTTTGTTGGAGCATAAGTAAGAATTGACACCTACCCCACTTCCCCAAAAGCTTTTGTGAGGAAATGAAGAGAAGGGAATATATATTTTTTGTTTAGAAGACTCACCCGAAGTTGGAAGAAAGGAAACACCAGTCTGAACAAGTCTAATCACAGCTCTTCCTGCATGCAAAACTCTTGTCAAATCAGAACAAAAGGATCACCAATGTCCAAGGAAGACTCGTAGTACGGGTTTGGTGCAAGGATTCTTGCAAACAAAAAGGATGGATCAGAATGTAATACTCACCCATGGAGGTGCTCCGCCTTTCAAAATGTCCGAAATGATGAATAGGTTGATTAGAATAGATAGGCCTACAGAAAGAAAGATTCAAGCGCGAAATAGCACAGTGAGCGAGTTGATCACCACATTCTTCAAATGCAAAAGCAGAAATATGTGTCGATTGAGTGGCAAAACAAAGTCTAAATCAATGCAGACTTACATCTGTTTCAACAAAGGAATCAAGTAGATTAGTTCTTGTAAACTCCACTGAGTGTATAGTATAACCTGTTGATTCTCAGCTTTTCTCTCAATACTAAGAATCACTCTCATACTCTGTTTATGCGAAGTTGTGAATACTTAGCTTTGTTAAAAACCAAAGACGCGTTTAGCCTGTACGTGCTCTCAACATTCCTACATGGGCTAAGCCCCGTACCTATTTTTTCCAGAAGGTTTGTTGAGCAATTCTATTGGCTTTACTCCTGCAATTGATCCACTGAGCGGTGGAGATTGACGGGAAGGCATCGCTTCCGGCGGTTAGAAAAAGAATACAATTCGAAAGTGTTTGGATCTTATGTCACTTCAATTTAAAAACGGTCCAAACCTTTTAATTTGAATCTTTGAAGATCCCCTTTGACTCAAAGGCTCAGCTACTTAGAGCTTTTGAACCATTACAATCCATTGTTCTACTCAATCGTGCTACCTGGTGTGGAAAAAGGGCTAGTTACTGGTAGCTGTTGGGCCTTTGTTGCCCAGCGCTCTTACATTGCTGCACCCGATGCTACAAGTGAAGAATGGCAGGGCTCAGCACACAAGTCGCTGATATATAAACACGTCTTGGGTCGCCAGAATCCCCCCGCCCTCCCGTCCTCAACCACATCACAAAGTGCTCATCCTTCCGCCTCTCACTACCTCTTCCCTTCTTCCAGGTAAGCTAACTTCCTTCTTCCCGGTGGTCGTTTTTTTTTCCCGAAGGCTTCAAACCTTCCACCTACGCTTCTTTGATATTTATCACAAATCTTCCCCTCCATCTTCCTTCAACCGTCCACTTCCTATTCAAAGGATGGCAAACCGACAACCTGGAAAGAGGCTCCCTTATATTACTGCTGAGGCTAAGTCCCAATATATCCGGGAGCTATTCGACCGCGCACTTCCACGGCCTGGGGTCACATCCTCCCTTGTCCGCCACCCACGGGTTCATATGTTTGTCCGCCGCCACACCCCACTACCCTCCACCCCTCTAGGCACTCCCCCAAGGTCGAAACTAAGCTCTCAAGGGGTGGCTATCAAGCGGCGCCGGGTGGTTGTCAACTGCCTTGGACCGGTACGGCGAAAGAGGCGCCCGGTGAGATTTCACCCATACAAGCTTTTCCAAGCTTGAATTTGAGTAAGTTTCTCTCTCTGATCTAAAACTTTCAGAACAAACAGTCCTGAAATGAATCTACCGCGGCTAGAATACACGGATTTCTCTAGTTCTTTTCTTATCTACCTCCTGCCTTGTATCCACTAAATATGTTGTAGCTTTACTTTCTTGAAGTCTTTTGCTGCAATTCACTTTCATTCCTATGAGCTTTCTTGTTAGCTTTCTCATCAAAGACCCATTGATATCGATGATGATCAGAGTATTTTTACCCCTGGTACATAGAAGCGGGAAATGCTCTTTTTCCATTGAGATATTCAAAACATCCATGTACTGGGGATGAACACTTCGAGTGAAATGGAGATCATTCCAGGTGGACAATAATCTAGAATAAACTGCTCAAGTGAATCTACAAACAACTTGCAGGTGAAGGACAGTCATCCCGAACTGACTTCCAACTGTTACCATGCTTTTTTGAACTTTGAATACTTCAGACAAGGTAGGTCTTTTGGTAGGGCCATTCTTCACCGATGAACAGATATGAGTCAATATAACCTCTTTTGAATGCCTTCTATGGGCTTACAACCGTGAAGATGGAAGGGACAAGACCCTTTAAACAGACGGTAAACCGCGCGTTTGTTCAACATCAATCGCAAGACGAACTGAAATTCATATTTTTTCTGGATATGCAACCAAATCGATCAATCTTAGAGAGAGACCCCTGAAGCATCTTGTAGTTCAAGCGATCGACTGGAAAGGGTCACAAGAAGGATTACACAAGTTGTTGTCCGTGGCGGATTTGGACTTGGCGAGGAAAGAAGACGCGAACAAGTGTCGCCTGTGACACTGAACAGACATGTGCACAATTGTTCAGATGTCTCCGCACCTAATGTGCTGTGCTGCTTCGCGCGATAGGTAGGCAACCCTGCCAAGCGAAAGTTTGCACCAGTGTGACCACCCAGCATTCAATCTGATGGTCAACATAGCTCCTGTCACCTTTGCATCAAAATTCTGGAAAGTGAAATTATCTGACTTTTGTCATTTCCAAACAGGCTTCTGAATGCAAGATAGCCTTAGGATCATTTGTCATTAGACCTGATGCTAAAAATTGTATAGGAATCTGCAGATGAATAGCCTAAATACTAAATCTGTCAAAAAATCAGAATTTGTTGAAAAAAACTGATTCTATCATATCAAAATACCAAATCAAACAAGGAGAATTTTTGTTGGTTTTAAGGTAGTTTGTGTATTCATGATTTCATATTGAAGTATTAATTTGAGTAAAGAGTTAAAAGTTTGGGAGGAAAGGTTTGTTGAAAGAGAAGGATCTATTGTTATATTAAGCTTGAGCATTAAACGGTTCAATTTCTTGAGTGGGAAACATAAAATAGGGAAGTTTAAGTACTCCTTGTGCTGGTCTTCTGATAATAAAATTCATTGAAACCAATCTCTGATGAGGGCCTAGAAACTATAAAAATTTGCAGGGCAGCTCCTCTTTAGGCTTCAGAAACAAAAACTCAAAATCAAGCCTTCCCAAAAATCACACATAAAAAGTGAAATTGGTCAACCATCAGCAATGATTTTAGGCTAATGTCAATTTTCACCTCATGCATCACAGGATTTACTCAATTTTACAGCATCTCTATAGTATGAAATAAACAATTGACCCAATGTAGTCAAATGAGGTCAATTTACATTTGTCAAATTGTTATTTTTTTCTTTAATTCAATCAAAAAAAGCAAGTTGATTTCCAGTAAGCACAAGTTGCTTTGGGTTTTGCTTGATCTGATATTAGGGGTGTTCAAATTCAGATAATAGGGGGTATCAAATATAGGAAATCCACCATTAGAAACCAGTCACATTTTTAAAAATATTTTTTTGCATCCATGGGCCCCAAAAGGGGTTAAATGAAGAACCAACATGTTTAAAAAAGGGTGTATTTTTTCAAACCAGTCAATTAAATAATGGTGGATTTGGTTATATTTGATACCCCCAAATAAATGCATAAAATCAATGGAAAGATGGATTTTGGTTCATGAAAGCATTTTCAAAGTGATTACAGAGTCAAAGAAGTGATATCACTTGCTGACAGGTGACATCATGAGGCTCACACCCAACCTCTGCCCAAGCTAAGCGTAAGCTCATATTCAATCCACACTGCACAGCCACAATGGCTGTGCAAAAATGTACTGGCTCAACAAGGGGGGGAGGGAGATTCATCTGGAGATTCCTTGATGTCACTTGCTAGTAAGTGACATGACAGCATTTGTAGTGTTATTTAATCTGTTCTGCTAGAAAAGTGATTCATGAATCAATGTTTATACATTTATGGTTGAAATTTTAGTATCATTATTAATTGCTCAGTACATAAAAGAAAAGTTTTCAAGTTTTTTAAAATTTAAGGATGAGATATAAGAAAGATGTGTGATTCATCTGAAACATTAAAAGCATGGGATTGAAATTTCAGCCAATCAAATTAGAATCAAAAATAGAAAGAATAGTGTAGTGAAAATTTTACATTATGCAGTCAAAAGATCTATATCTTCCAAAATTTATCTTCTTTCATGAGTCTTGCGCAGCTGATAAGATTTCAGGAAATTAATAAGATTATTAATATTAGATCCCTTGGCTAATACAGCTTCTCTCAAAGATCATATAGAAGTAGATCATTCTTTTCTCTCAACAATCTGAATCAGAAGTTTGTGGCTTTTGATGCTAGGAATTTGAATAGTCCTGCATTGTGTGGATCTTGGAAAATGCACTGAGGTCAATGGAAGACTCAGCTCCATTGTGCAAAGTGTTATTATTGGGACTGGTCACAGTCAGGGGCTGAACAATGGGAAAAGTGGAAATCTCAATAGGAAAGGAGAACTGGAAAATCTATTAGATGTATAATGAAATTTGAAGGAAGACTCAATTTGAGATATTCCTAGTAAATATTTTCCTAGATCAATGAGGTTAGCTACAACAGTCAAAATTTGTTCAAAATAAAATGAATGCTTAATATGCCAAAATGCTATTCCCTGGGGTTCTTAATTTTCAATGGAAAGAGGTGCAATTGGGTGCACTGGAAATATTTTAGACATTGGAAGATACATACATAAAATCATTTTGTTTCTAGGATTATCAAGGAGAAAATAGGGTAAGTTGGGGAGGGGCAGAGAACAAAACATAATTTAAAAAAATGAAGATGTTGAAATTTCAACTTGGAGTATCTTCTGTCAGCATATTTCAAAAAATATGACTCAGGAATCAGGATGAATCTGCATAACTAAGGCAATGACTGGAAATTTGGTTTCAAGTTCATGCTTTTGAAAAGTAATGATCGTGCAGTCAAAGATCAACAAGGGTGAAATGGAATAGAGGAAGGAATCAGAGGGGGTAACAATGGCCCATGACCATCGGTACTGGTAGCCATTGTGGAGGGCCAGGAGGGTGGTGGAATGGCAAGGAAGAAGCCTGCCTGGAGCAGATGATGGCTCATGGAACCCAATTGCAGATGGTCATCCCATGTGATGGGTGACAAGGAAACACAACTCATTTGGTCAAACTGAGATGCCACTTCAAACCGGCTAAATTGTGCAGATTGCCTCCAACTTTTGCAGGAAAGAAAGTATCATGTACATTCATCTAGCGCTATATGTTGTGATCAAGTAACAGGCCAGACATGGATATTTCCTAAAATTGTCCAAAACTTATAATGCATAATCATGGGGAGTGAACCTTCCTGCATAGGTTCTTCATTTAGCTTGTAGGTATGTATACACTGTCTTTTTCTGAACATATGGCACAGCCAAACAACCATTTTGGCCAAAAGCCCAACTTTTTCTGTGTAGCAAAGACCTGTCATGTTAATTCTCCAGGGCTACTTCAGGAACGTGGCTTTGCCTATCAAGAGTTGAATAAGCCTCGTAATAAAAAAATGATAGCCCTCTAGACCACATGTCTTTTGCAACACTTCGGGGATCTTGGAAAAATCGAACATGTACATTGCTCCTGCCTCAATAGATAACGAGTATGGTTTGATTGCTTCGCTAAAAAAAGTTGGGGATATGAAGCAAGAGATAAAAGGCGAAGGTATCAATCCGATTAAGTAAATGAGGATCGGCTATCTAGTGCTTTGTGATCACTGATGTATGTACATTTTTGGAGGGCTCAAGTGAGTGCAATGAGAAGGGTTAAGGTACGAGTTTGATTCCCATATTTTTAACTTGAGCGGCGATCGACCGGGTGAGGGATTCGAGAGGGATGTGATTAAGGTCCTCATGGTCGACTGATTTCTTGATGAGCGCGAGATGGTAGATGAATTTGAGGCTGAGTTCTGAGCCTATGAAGCTGTGCATCTTGGAGTCACTGGACGTGTTAGATTTCTTAGCAGAGGATGATGAGGATGAGGATGATTGCGTTGATGAGGGTGAGGATGATGCTGATGATGCGTTGAGATGTTTCTTGATGAAGTAGGTCGTTGGTGGTGAGTTTAGTTTGAATTTATACGACTTGTCCTTCGCATTGATCGTCATGTTCACTCGGATCGGGATCGTCGGCTCGATGTGGCTGGTCTGCGCATTGAACAGCTTGCAGAAGCTTTTCAAGTCCGAGTTCTTGTAAGTGTTTGATTTTTATTTTTATTTATTTTTTTATTGCTGGTTTGGCTTACTCCATTGCTTTTATCCCTCTCGAGCCAAGTGCTGGTCCGACGGGAGGGGAGGGCGAGGCTTTACCTGCCTCGACTATGAGCCTGTTGGTTAAAAATTTGTGTAATCGTGAGTACCATCCCATTTTACTTGATAAATAAGAAAAGATGAAGGAGAGTGCTGACCGGACTAGATTTGTCGTAGGTGCTGACATGGAGTTGAGATGTATGTGGGTTGGTTTTCTTGGGTCTTCTGGTTGGGAGTTGATCGGGTGGATAATTTTTAATGGCCAGGATCCCCGAGTCCGGGGTTCTCTCTCCGAGTCTGCCCCCCCGGAGGGTGGTATGTTCTCTTTCAGTTGGATTCTCCTTCAACCCTTTCCTTTCCTTTCCTTTCCTTTCCTTTCCTTTCCTTTCTTCTCAAACTACTTACAGCAAGACACCGACCAACAAGAACTGACCAACAACCCAAAATCAACCCAAAAACCTGGATGTGGAACTCGAGCAATTCAACCTAGCAGTCCAAGCACTCTAGTCAACCAATCTCATCACCACCTAGGAGACGCGTACACTACCACCCTGGTAGCCGGATCACACCATCATGGCCAACACCGATCGAGGCCAAAGCCTGCGCAGCCTATACTCCTCAACCAGTACCCAGGATCAACTCCTATCGCCCACCCTGCCCTCATCAGCGATGAAATCAACCGCCAAGAAACCCGGCCAAGTGATGGCAGATGCAGCCGCGACCGCCGAATTTAACGAAAAGAGATGGTTCTGGCTACCCGATGAGAAGAAGGGCTATATTGCGTGTTGGATCATCAAGGATCAACAATCAGCAACAGCAACCACAACTAGCACCGATCAGGACCCTCCAGAGACAGCCCCAACCTCGAACGATCAGCAACTCGTCGAGGTGAGATGTGTGGATGATAAGACACGAACAGTCAAACTCGACATACTCGAAAAGATGAACCCACCCAAATTCAATAAGGTAGAAGACATTGCAGACCTCACCTTCCTCAACGAACCTAGTGTCGTCCACAACCTCAGACAACGCTACGAATCAAAGATGATCTATGTCAGTTCACTGGGATTCTTAATCAAATCATCCTTCCATCCTTGATACTAATAACGGTGGCTCTTTTTTTTTCTTTCCCCCTTCAAGACTTATTCTGGACTTTTTTTGGTGGCCATCAACCCATATCATCCAATTCCAATCTACACCCCTCAAGTGATCTCTCAATACAAAAACAAACGACGCGAAGAAAACCCCCCTCACGTCTACGCAGTTGCTGAGAGGTCATGGCAGCATATGCTAGGCGAACGCGAAAATCAATCGATCCTCATCACCGGTGAATCCGGGGCTGGAAAGACTGAGAACACCAAACGAGTGATCTCCTATCTGACCGCGATCGCCAGTGCACACAAGTTCCCAGCCTCGGGTAGTGAGAATAGCGTATCTGAAAGTAGCAGGCCCACCTTAGGGAGTAGATCGAACACCAGTACCCGGGTCGAAGTGGTCGATCTGGTCGGTAAACGACTCGGGAAACTCGAACGTCAGATTCTACAGGCTAACCCGATCTTAGAATCCTTTGGAAATGCCCAAACGGTTAGAAATAATAACTCATCTCGATTCGTAAGTAATTCTTTCTTCTGGCATTCCAAAAGAAACGCGTCATCGTCCTGACTCTGTTCCCACCCACCCAGGGGAAATTTGTGAGAATCGAATTCAACGCGCTTGGAGCGATCTCAGGTGCAAACATTGATTGGTACCTACTCGAAAAATCTCGAGTAACCTCCCGCAGTGAGAAAGAACGAGCGTTTCATGTCTTCTATCAGCTCTTGATCGGTTGTAGCTCGATCGGATCGGGTGGCGGTGGAGACGAGGAACTAGCTGAAAAACTATTGCTCAACAGTACCGATCCCAAAGATTATGACTATCTGAACAAAACTAAACTAGTGGTCGATGGGATGGACGATCTAGAGGAGTGGAAGAACCTTAGAGAGAGTCTGAACGTGGTCGGATTGAGTACCGAAGAACAACTCAACCTATTCAAGATTATCTCCATCATTCTTCACATCGGTAATATCGCCGTTCAATCCGATCGATCCGATGTGGCTTACATTCATACTGGTACAGAGAATGAATCCTTGGCGAATCTAGAACAAGTCTTCCATCTATTAGGATTGCCCAATCTAGAAGAGTTTAAGAAGAGTATCCTGCGCCCTAAGATCAAGGCCGGTCGTGAGTTTGTTACTCAGCAACGTAATGCGAAACAAGTCAAGGAGGAACTCTCTTCACTGTGTACAACACTTTACGAAAAGTCATTCGGCAAGCTCATCGAGAAGATCAATGTCATGCTTGATAAAAGTAACAAGGGCAACCAGAACAGTCTTTCATCATTCAAGTCGACCTTCATTGGCGTACTGGATATTGCTGGTTTCGAAATCTTCGAGACCAATGGCTTCGAGCAACTCTGTATCAATTACACCAATGAACGTCTACAACAGTTTTTCAATCATCACATGTTTGTGCTGGAGCAGGAAGAGTACTCCAAGGAAGATATCGATTGGGACTTTGTCAATTTCGGTCTTGACCTTCAACCTACAATCGATCTGATCGAATCTTCATCCGATCCAATCGGAATCTTGAGCTGTCTCGACGAAGAATGTATTATGCCTAGGGCTACCGACCTCACGTTCACTGAGAAACTGATGGGTTTGGTGGCCAAGAACCCCAATCCAAAGTTTATCAAGTCTCGCTTCAACTCCACCGCCGGTTTCATCATTCAGCATTATGCCGGTCATGTCGAATACCGGACTGAAGGATGGCTGGAAAAGAACAAGGATCCGTTGAACAGCAATCTGACCAATGTATTGGCAAGCTCTAAGGATAAGTTCATCGCAACTCTATTCGAAGAGTATCGAGATTCTAACAGTCAGTCAGCTGGTCCTGTCACGGGCGGCGTGAATCCCGACGCTGCCGGTGGACAGGTAACAGGCGGTGGGAAGCGGCGCGGCGTGAAACGCGGTGCGTTTCGGACCGTTGGTCAACGGCACAAGGAGCAGCTAACCTCGCTGATGAACCAACTCCAATCCACCCAACCTCATTTCGTCAGATGCATTGTTCCCAATCCTGACAAGCGGCCCGGGATCATTGATGTCAAGCTGGTGCTTGATCAGCTGCGTTGTAATGGTGTCCTCGAAGGGATTCGGATTGCTCGTTTGGGCTATCCCAATCGTCTGCCGTTCATCGAGTTTCGTCAACGTTACGAAGTCTTGACGCCTGGGATCATCCCAAGCGGATATCTTGACGGCCGGAAGGCGTGTATCCGGATGCTTGGTGCACTTGAGTTGGACGAATCCGTCTACAAGATCGGTCTGACCAAGGTTTTCTTCAAATCTGGCGTCCTGGCCGAGCTTGAAGAACGTCGAGATGAATATCTCTATGAGATCTTTACCAACTTACAGGCCAACTGTCGATCGTTTATCCACCAAAGAAAGATGAAGAAGGTCTTGAACAAGGCGATGTCGATTCGAACGATCCAGCGAAACGCAAGGATCTACAACGAATTGAAATCTTGGCCATGGTGGCAGCTTTATACACGCGTCAGACCTCTACTGGCAGCTACTCGAGACGATAACGAGCTACGGAAGAAGGCAAACGAATTGAATCAGCTCAAAGAGAAGAACGAGAAAGAGAGGCTAGAGCGAGAAAAGCTTGAGGCGATGAAGAACGCGGTCGAGTTGGAGAAGCAAAGGGTCGAGAACGAATTGGAGCAGGAGAGGTTGGTTAGTCTGAACAAAGAAGAGCAGCTGATTCGGTCTAAGGAAATGGAGATGGCACTGGTAGAGGAACTCGAGGCAACGCGGAAAGAGCTCGAGGCACTTGAGGATCAATTCGAGAACGAGGTGAAACTACATCACGCCACCCAGGTGGCTGTCAAGGAGATTGATACTCGGAAAGAGGATCTCAGTAAGCAAATCGCCGAACTCGAGGCTCACCAGTTGAGATGGGTCGATGATGAGAACCGTTTGAAGGCCACAATTACGGAACAACAACACTTGATCGAGAAGCTTCAGAAGGAAAAGGCTGAATTACACCAAGTACATGAAGACCTCAAACGACAACAAGCCGAAAGTGAAGAAGATCTAGACCGGAGTGAGAAGAGACTCAAGATGGTGATCGCTGAATTAGAAGGCAAATTGGAATTCGAAAACGATTCGACCAACAAACTGAAGGGCAAGATCGAACAACTTGAGAAGGATTACATGAACTCGAAAATCCAATTAGGAGAGATGAAGAAGACGATCATGGATTATGAATCCAAGTTGAAGCACAAGGAGGCCGAAGCGGTCGGTTTGGAGAACCAGAAATCAATGGTTCTCAAGGAAAAAGAAACTAATCTCAAGCGGACCAAGGAACTCGAGATCCAAGTCGAATCCCTAGACCAACAACTTGCCGATTCTAGAGGTGAAATCCAAAAACATATTCTTCATCAACAAGCGATCAGCAAAGAACTGGACGAGACCAGAGCGCTCTTAGAGACCAAATGTAGTGAAGAGCACATGATGTCTCAAGTTTCAAAAGCTCGAGAGGAGGAACTGTTCAAATTCAGGGAGCAACAGAATCAAATGTTGAGCGAAATGTCGGAGATCAAACGTCAAGGTAACCAAGCCGTAGCTGACATCAAGTCAGAGCGTGATGAAGTTCGGCGACAGTTTGAATCGGCTACTCAGGCACACCAAGAAGCCACCGAGTTAGTGATTTTACCTGTACTCTTCCTCTTTTTACTATGAGACGTGGTAAGCTGATGTTAACCTTTTTTTTAATTCATTAATTTGTGTAAAGGCGAATTACAGCCCAAGGTCAAAAAATCTCGAATCTCGAACTTACGTTACAAAAGGCTGATCGCGCAAAACAGGCAGTCGAGATCGAGCTCCAAGAGATCCGATCGAAACATTTAGAGGCGACCAATTATCTCGATAAGACGATGAAAGAGAAAGAGGGACTTGAGAAACAGTTGTCTGCTAGTGTCTTGAAATTCCAAGATATGGAGGATGCGATGTTGAAGATCGAAAGAGAAAGATCTGCATGGAATCGCCAGGTTGAAGATCTGAAATCCAAGTTGGAGGTCGAATTGACGAAACGAGTTGAATTAGAACATGATAATTCAAGTTTAGAGAAGGATCTTAAAGTTCATAAAGATACTGTGTCAGAACATGAGAAGAATGCGGCTGGCTTGAGGAAAGAATTGACACTCAAGAATCAAGAGCTGCACAAAGCGATCTCATTGCAAGACAAGACGATTGTTGAACATGTTCATGTCCTCGAAGAAGCCAAGAAATACACCGACCGACAATTGAGTGAAGCCCAAGCATTACTAAGAGATCAAACTGGACAGCTGAAATTACTCGATCGGACGGTTGCCAGATTGAAGGGAGAAGCTGAAGATCTGACACGAGAGTTGCAAAAGGAGAAGGCTCAAAACCGACAATCACATGCCCAACATCGTCGAGTCAGTGGAGCAAACGATAATAAGAACGAGGTCCATCTATTGAAGTTAAACCTTGACAAGGAGAAAGTGGCTCGAAACCAAGCCGAGGCTAATGGTTGGTTCTCCTATCTTCTTTCCCTATCCATTAAAGTTGATTATAAACAGAACAGTGATTCATTTCTGTGTCATCAGTCAGGAAGCTGCAGGCTGAGCTTAAGAATGCACAAGAAGGGGTCACAAGTATGGGCAATGTTGGACGGCGCTCGCATGCAGAAGTAAGTAGTTTCTTTCCAATGTTCTTCCGTTCTTCCTCAAAACTCAATCTAAACCACCATCATCTCTTGGTCACTGTCGCCATAGAGTACAGAAATGAGTGCGACGGCCAAAAAGGAGTATGAGAATCGGATTGCGGATCTGGAACGGCAACTGCATGAGAGAGACGCAATTTTGAACAAGGCAACGATTGATCGAGTCAAGAAACAGGTCGAACAGCGTTATACCGATCTTATTCATCTGGTTAAGTCCGACCCAAATAAGACTGAAAACGAGCTCAAAAATAAACTTTTGGCCGAGCTGCAGCAAGCTAACCAAGAATTAGAAAACGAAATGTAAGCCTCCTACATCCCCTTTTTCCCATGATGGGGTTAATATAATATTCCTTTCTAGATTAACCGAGACGATCTTATCCTATGTTTTTTTGTAGGGCTTCATCTCTTGATTCATTAGGTCGACCCGTGATCGAGCCGATGAAAAGTTTCGCCAATGGGGCAGCCTTCAAACGCAACCAAGGTCGACCGGGCTCAGTAGCCCGGATGTCACGGGAGATCGACCAGAATGCACTAGGCCAAGACCGGTTCAAGGTGGTCCAGCTAGAGGAGACGATCCGGAAGCACGAGCGGGCCAACCATGCTTTACAGGCGGACTTGCAGGTGATGAGCATTCAGCAGATCAAGTCAGACGTAATCCGAAACCATCTCGAATCCCAATTGAGCGGCCTGTTGAGGATCTTGAATAACGAGGACTCCAACCAATCCATCACCATTGAGGAGATCAAGCGCAAGTTGAACATCGAACATGAACAGCTTCAGGAGCTTTTGAAGGAGGAGATCGAGGCTAGAAGTCTTGCAGAACAGTCCAGGTTGAAAGGCAGTCAGAACCTTAAAGAGATCCAAAACTCGCTCACTAACTCCATGGATGATAGGTTCTCGAAACTTGAATCTAATCAGTTCAATCTCCTCTCTCAAAATCGGGCTAGTGTTCACGAACTCGAAAGCCAGAAGAATCGCATCGTTCGTGATCCCCCTTCCTTTGATCAACTCGCCCGTATATCATTGCTCATACGTTACCTTTGACACTGGTTTGCTTATAGAACGAACTTCAACAAACCAAGAACATGTTAGAAACAGGTAAGCAATTGTCTCTTGAATCAATCTACAAAGGGATGGATTGCTTATTTGACTTTCTGTTGAAAAAATAATAAAACATGGAAACAGAATTGACCGACTACAAGCAGAGATGCGAACACTATGCTCAGATGATCGAACAAGAAGCAGAGGATAAACGACAGATGTTGGCCGAGTTGCAGGAGGCTCAGATCGAAAGGGCTTCCACTGGCGACCTCGAGAATGCCTTAATTTCTTGGAAACAGTGTGTTTGATCTTTTTACCACTCCGAGCCTTCTCTTTATCCCCCCAAAGAAAGTCAGACCATCAACATTCTTTGAGGCGATTCCTTATTGTTGCTGTTTGTCCTTTGCCAATCCATTCATCACCTCTCAGGAAAGCTGATCAGTACCGTGATCGGGTCGAGGCAGCTGAGGTAGCACGGCTCAAAGCTGAGAAAAGCGAAGTTGGTTTTACTTTTCTTCAAGAATGTTGCAAGAGTGACGGTCGGTTGATTGGATTTGGTTTTCTACTTTTTTCCAAAAAAAACAGACTTTTGCGAAGGTTTCGCTTACCGACAGTGAACGAAGGAGGGCCGAAGCGGCGGAAGACAGGGAGGCGGCCGAGCAGCGAGCTCGAGTGGCTGAGCAGAGGGTGCGAGAATTGGAGGCTTACTTGGAGGACGAAGGCGGAGATTTCACCAAAGCTCAGAGGGAGACCGAGCGGACGCTTGCCGAGTTGAATGAGCTCAGGGCCCAGTACGACCGGGCTATGAATGACCGGGACTATACGGTTGAAGCAACCAGACAACGGTTTCAACATGAACTCGAAAATCTTGCAGTCAGCCCAACTATCTTCTCACCCTTTACAATACAAGCAGGTGGTGAACTCATACATAATTGAGACATTTTGTTTCCCTTTTTTTCCTGAATTGCAGAAAGAGCTTGAATCGGAACGAGAACGAACGATGAAAGTTAGAGAAGAGCTTCGGCAACTACGCACTGAGCGCGATGAGCTGCAAATCCGGAACGACGAGAGACTCTATTCGAGGGGAGGGTTCAGTAAGGAAAAAGAGAGATTGGAAACCAAGTGGGTGGTTTCAACACTTTCCTAATTGGCTCTTACTTGAGTCCTTGCTGAACAATTCCCAGAAATTCATCATCATGGGGACTAATGTTGTTTGATTGATTTACGAGTGACTAGAGTCCAAGATATCACCAAAGCCTACGACGAGGCAGTCGCGGCGCAAGCAGAGCAATCCTCTCAAATAGTCACTCTCATGAGTCAAGTTCGTGACTTGAGGGCAGCCAGAGATGAAGCCGAAGCCGATCGGGCTGCCCTAGTGACCGCTAAGAAATCTTTAGAGCAGCGCTTAGAGGAGATCGGATCCGAATTCCTTTCGGCTAACTCAGGTACTGTTGATTGTCTATGAACACCGAACCTAGGCATATGAAGGCTGAATATTCAATCCTTTGTATTTCTTTCAATAGGTCGATTATCCAACGATCGAGTTTTGCAGACTTTACAGCAGGAGCGTAGCGATCTAAAGAGACAGTTGGAAGAGAGAGAAGACTTGTTTTCAGTGGCTCTTGAACGTCAGAAGAAAGCGGAGGCCTTTGCCAATGAGTCAGTCCTACCTTAACAGGTCATTCTTACGCCCCCCCCCTTTTTTTTCTAATCGCCAGTTGTTTTGCGCCCTGTCTTTTCAGTTGTCAGATGGAAGCCAATCGAGAGAGATCCGAAAGCTCAGAATTGTTAAAAGCAAATGTATGCGGAGTTCTCATAATTTCAAATTCTGCAAGTAGAGAAGAACTGATCAGGATTCGAATATTCTGTTTGTATCGTCTCGAAGACTGAGTTGGAACGCAAGATCAAGTTATTAAACCTGAAGATAGTTGATTTAGAAACTCGATCGATGACCTCCTCGCCACGTCAGCTGAACTCGCAACAGAACCGAAACAATCTAAGCGTGATCGAGCCGAAGCAGTACGAGGAGGCACTCAACCAACTCGAACAGGAGAAGGAAAACTTCAACAAGCTCAGCAAGAAAGCCGAACGAAGCCTCAAAGATCTCGAGTTTAAGTTGGTCGACTCTGATCGCTCTAAAAATCGTCTCCTGGATGAAATCAAAAACTTCGAAAATAAATTATTCAGTTTGAGGAAATTAAATTCAGATCTAGTTCAGTAACTTTTTCCTTTTTTGTCGGTTTTTTTTTTCTGTGATACTCTTGATCTAACCCGGGTTCTCTTGGCAGCAATCCTCCGAAACTGAATCACAATTGGCTAAACGAAGGGCTGAACGAGAAGTAGCCGATCTCCAAGAAAAGATTTCAAGGCTAGTCTTCCTCCCTCTTCTTCCCTCTTTTCAGCTCGCTCATTGACCGTTGTTCTCTTCCCACGACCCATGAAAAAATTATAGGCTTCAAGTCGAGCTAGAACGGTACAAGTCCATGGGCCTTCTCAGTCGCTCTCCTGGTCCTGCTAGAAGGACTTGATCTCTCATCTCTCATTCTTTTCTCTCGTCTCACAGCCCTCTCTCCCTTTTCTCTCTTCCCTCTCTCTCTTTCTCTCCGAGAGGATTAGCTCAATTATAGATGCCATGTTGATCGCTTGATTTGAGTTTTATGGTATATGTTAGATGTACTACTTATAATTATATGTTTTCTTTTTTGTTACTTTGGTTTATTATGGGGCCTTTGTATGTATGTACTTGAGAATTAATGTATAGATCTTTTTGAGTATGATGCAGTAAACATAAACATTTCCTTAGTTTTATTTTACTTTTTATTTCTACTTTATAAAAAAAGTACCTAATTAATTGAGTGTTCATTCGGTTGTAGTGTTAAGTATATATTTTGGTCACATACATACAGTTTTCTTTCTGTAAAAATCTTCAGTATGATAAGTCATTGATCATTTTCCATTGTTCAGTAACAGAGCTGCTTGTCCATATCAACAAAGAAAAGGGTACATGCTCTTCGCCGTTTAAGAATATCGGGGCCTGGGCGTTCCGGTGATCAGCAAGCCGAGTCTCATTCCCGATCCCTGAGTCCTTCTGAGAGGTTAGCGCGGAATAGATAGCATGGTCGTATTACAAGCGATTATAGATGTGACTCAGGGACTCAGGCGGGTATCTTGCTTTAAAGATCGAAGATGTGACTCAGGGACTCAGGCGGGTATCTTGCTTTAAAGATCGAGTGCTCGTGCTCTAGTATGTGTCACAAGTATTTATCGCAATGTCAATCATCATAAATTTTCATACGTTCACCATTTGAACTCTATTTCAACCGATATTCTCCCGGGTTTAACTTTTATCTTGAATCGATTCGATTCAGTAGATCAGGGTCAAAGCTATCTTTGAAATTTTGCAGTGTGAATATATAAGTGGAGCATAGTGGAATTATCACGTGAGGAACTGCTTATATGTAGTGGGGTTCAAAAAAAGAAAGAAACATCAACGTGCCACATCGCAATCTATAAATTCTGTGAAAAATAACGTCTGGTTCACATATTTTCAAAAACAAATTGGCTAATTAATTGACGAGCTTGGAAATAAAATAGATAACCAATTGAATGCGACCTCCAATAAAGTACCGCCGACTGGTGTTTCCCCAAGCGCTTCCATCGTTTGATGCTCTTTTCCATCGTCTAGCCATTATTTTCCATTGACAGTGGGTTCGGCAGGATGTAGAACTTTTTTGTGAAGTACCTTAGCTCAGGACCGCGACGTACGAGGAACAACTACCAGTTTGGTCCTGAGCGGGTGATCAAGTTAGCCTCCTCATGCCGTGAAGATTATTTCGTGAGCTGACTTACTATTAAGGGGGTTAACTAGGCATTCGATTAACCAATGCCACTGGGAATTAGGATACAGTTCTCGAATGGATCAATGACTCAAGCACTCACATGAATTACACCTAAGAATCCAAAAACAAATATACAGTTATCAGCTTCGAGAACATGGAGCATTAATCTGGACAGACTCACTTGGTTCAATAACTTGAACCTTTTTTCTTTGTTTGAAAAGAATTCGCGTGCTGCAGAAAAACAAATGGGTCAATCAAGGATGCTGGGGTTCGTGGCTAGATGTGTAAGTAGTATTAAGACATCAGCTGACTTTTGGTCATCCAAAGTATAAGACCAGCACAACTCGCATTGAAATGATGCAGAGGCATCCCTGAGTAGAAAGATTTTGCACGACCTCAGGAAAGCATTCGTATGATGAATCCCTGATAAGACTGGACAGACGTACTTCGAAATGATTTTTTTCAAGAGCTTTTTAGAGCAAGGAGTGTTCCGAGTGGTTTTACAGTTTTCCACCAAGTCAAAAAAATCGTGATGGAGGAGTGCAGATGAGTAAGCTTCCTCGATCGTCTCAGTTGGAAAACCTGTGATTATTTTTTGTGCAATCAGGAAAGTTTAAAAGGGTAGATATATTATATAGTAGGGCGACGCAGGACGCGACAGCAATCGGATCAGCTATGTATGATTGCTGTCAGCGTTTCCTGATCTGAAGATGCAGTCCTAACCTAAAAAGTCCAGCGCTTCGGGTGTAATAAAAACGATGGAGCGAGAAGCCTTCTTGAACAATATGAGCTTCACCGTAAACATCCCCATAATAAGTTAGTTGACCATGAAGCTATTCACTAGATAGGCAGTATAAGAGCTGATCAGTGACACGACTCACCCGTGAATACGTGGATTGGAAAGCCGAGATACTCTCGTGCAAGGTAGAACCATTAAATTCACTTCTATCATCAGGCTTTGTGAATTCAATGTCCTGCATGATTTTTTCTTGTTTGATCTTTGAACTAAACCAATTGAATGGAAAACTTGTGGAGCTTTTTGGTTTCGAGCCAAGGGTGTCCTTGCTGTCATGAGTGTCATTGCTGCTGGATAGCTTATCCAAAAGTCTAGGGTTAATAGCAGCAAGTTTTTCAAATTTGGCATGGTTAGCCGGTGCGCCCGCCGGAAGCTCAAAATCCGCTGAGGTTATTTTTTCAGGAGGAGCGTTGGTCTGCGAGATCAGGGCCATCAGTTGATTGTTGCGCAACTCGTCGGTGACGTTCTAGTTATGCCCGAAATCAACGTTGAGCTACCCAATTGCAAACCTCTGCGATAGATATCAAAACAAGCGAAACCGTTGCCTACAATTTGTCCTCCTATGTAATCTGAAGTATTCAGAACGCAAATCAGACAAGAAAGTGTTGAGCTAGGGAGTCATCAAGCGCTTTTACGCACAGCTAAGAAAGCCCTTTTCATCAAACAACGGAATGATGCTCAAGAGGCAGTAAAATGGTGTCCCATCAGCTTTGTAGTTCAGAAGAAGCTCCACGGAAGGAAGTCCCTGCTTTAAGGCTTGTCGAAGACGTTGGATTGATTGCGGACTGGTCCCTGGTCCTGAAAGATTCGAGAATACAAATCCAAGGCATGCTGAATTCAATGTTGATATAGCAAAACCAGTTAAGACTTCTTTACCCTGTAGAAAGCGACAATTCTTGCCAATAATCAAGTGTCTATCGTGGCCTGTCGCGAAATCTTCAGACCAGCACTGTAGAACTAACATCTGGATAATCCAAGAAACTTACCTGTCGTTGCGCTGTTGGATGGGATTAATGTCAGCTAAAAACGTTTCTAATTTTCGGCTGAGTAGCATAATTCATAACAAGCAAATTTCAACGCCTACCTGAAGCTGGGTGAAACCATGACCACTGGGTTGTCTCTGAGGAAAATTGCTAGTTTAATAAGATTCCTCAAGTCCGAAATAACATATCCATGTAGTTGCTGAACTCACCTAAGACGTGGGTTGGTCACACAAAATGAATCGCCTGAAAGAAATCAAGGAATGTCGCAAATAAGGTGACTATTTTTTGAGGGGGCGAACTAAAATATTCAACTTCTTAGTCACCTAGCCCTTGACAAGTTTCTTCATCTACTCCGCTGCATAATTTCATCTTGGTTATCTCAAGGAGCTTGCTGGTTATGAATTGCTGAGAATAGTAAATTGTTTTAGTTGAATACAAACGTGGCGCGACGGAATCGTAGTGAGCGAACCTTGAAAGTATCATTATACAAAGACTCAAGCAGGTATTGGCGACTAGCAACCAATACCTGTGATGAATGCGCCAGGTTTACGGTTTCCTTGATAGCTTCACCGTCGAGCCTGGCAATTAGACTAGTTCGCGTACTACGTTTCCCATCGGACTCGTGGTAATGATCTATCGCAAAAATGAATCAGCACGATAGATGGAGTGCGTAGGAGGATTTTGCTTACGTAATACTTTCTTGGCGTTTTCTTGAGCCTCTATGTGCAGTTGATTGATCCGAGACTCTTCAGTCCATCGGTCTAGCTTTTCCACCCCTCCTTGGATGACCAACCAGTCTCGAAAGACATTACGAGTCTTGGGTTTGGACAGCATGTAGGTGAAGGATTCGATACTCAATAACGAGAGTAGACTCGCTTTCATTTCTTCTTCAATGACAGTTTGCTGGGGGTAAGAAGTTAATTCTTTCCCGTACATTTCTTCGAGCGGCGTATCAGTCGTGACAGTAGCCTGAGTCGAAGTGCAACTGTCCAGCTTCGTGGCCCGCGGCAAGTATGCACTCTGTTCCATTTGATCAGTTTGTGAATCAAAAATTCTTGAGGGCTGATTAGGAAATTCAACGCGTCCGGTCGGCTGTTTAGGAAATGAGAGTTTCGCTGGGGGGATCGCCGGCCGGTGAGGAACACTATCGTAGATGAATTAATGTAAACGATAGGATGAACTTCAAAAAAGACACCTTAAAAAAACTGAACTGCTCCGTGTTGGACCCATCGTCATCATCGCTCTCACAATCACTCAAGGTTAATGGAAGAGATACTATTGAAGGCACTGGAGAACAGGCCGTCGGATAATCGCCGCATACGACTGTATTCATGTAAGATGCTTGTCAGGATATTTCCCAAAAATCAGCTACGTATTTTGAAACCGTTGAACCCACTTCTTGGTTTTTTTTGAACTGTGTTGCTTGCGTCCTGTGAGCCGGCTTCTGATGAGCTCGACGCTGCAATTATTCGGGCGTCCTGGCAGCCAGCCTTTTGATACACTTGAATTCTGCCTTGGTTTGATCTTGGGCAAAACCTTGGGGCCATATCCTACATCAAATAACTCGACTTGATCAGCGACCCATTTTTTGCAAAATTTAGCATACATGTTGCATCCTTTCCCCTACATTTGATTGGCCCTTCGTCAAGCCTGGAGCTAGAGGACACGCAGAGGTAACTTGACGAACTGACATATCACATTGTATCTTCGTGTTGATTGGGGATTGATGGGAAGACATTTTTTACGAATTTGAGCCGGATGAACGAGAAGGGAAGTTGCAGTACCAGTTAGATACCACTACCACGGACTCAAGTCGCGGGGCTTCTTTGAATGCTCAACCGTATGACAAGCTTGAGCTCCGGATCGGCATATTTCCTTTCAGCAATCTGTTTGACCAGGTTTTACCATTTATTATGTGCGTGCGAATGATTCCATCACTGCAGCTGGCATGTGCGTGCGACTGATAATTGATTCCATCTCTGCTGGCAAGAGCCATTGAGACACAGCCGCCCGAGTAGCGGTCGTACAGGTCCGGCGGCCGGTCAAATTGTTTGAGCACTTACTGCTGGAGATACACGGAAGTTTGGAACATCTGTTTGGGCTTTTGGCGGGGGGAGGTACCCACCTGAATCCGTCTTTGGGACCCATTCATGTGCTTGTTGTCATCCCATGCTGAATGACGTTTGGCCTGAGTTGGGACAATGGTCATGAGGGATGAATTACATTTATCCGAAGGTCACGCTACTCAGTGCTAGATTCGCACGTGTGCCCCGTCTGCTAGGAATGGAGAAGGATGTATGTAGATAGAGACATAAAGTTGAGTATAGTTAGGGTAGTTAAACAGTTACAGTTCCAACCTTACTCATCACCATCTCAAACCGGTCTTAGCTACGCATCATATGTACTGCCACTGGGTCTTATACGCTTGTCGCGGTACCGATCCCCTACTTCCTTCACCGAGTTGGAGACCATGCCGTGCCCACCTGTGTTCCTCAGGTTAATAGCATTGGTACCTCACCGAGTTGGGGAGCCATAACTTGTCGTGCCCAGCTGACCGCAACACGTGTCTCTTTTTCACATCACATCTATACCAACCAATCTGCTCATTCTTTTTGATCCACAATTGTGCACGAAGCTTGGCTAGCTGCCATTGGTTTCATGAGGAAGCTGGAAACCTTCTTTAGATGGGAGTAACCAAAATCAAACAGTCACCAAAAATGTCCAAATCAGGGTCTTCTGTCTAGGGTACAAAATGTATGGACATTGTAATTTGTATTATAATCTTTTGGTTTTTTCATTTTCTTGATTTTTTCACTTTTTCAGATTTTCGTTAGTTTCAAAAAATCTTGTCCCCTCTTAGAAGGAATTATTGTGATCTTTGCTAGTAATTGATTCAAGGGTCAGATTCTTCACTGAGGATGAAGAGTCTTTCGCAATGAGAGAAAAAAAGTGATGGGGATTTGCAGCGCATTGATCTACCGGCATATTTACACTTGAAATCTGGTTGTAGTGATATTCTTTTGGCTATGTACATTTTTCAAAATGTTAGTTTGATTCTCCCTTTTTGTTGTTTAGAATAGGACTGCTACTTCTAGTCGACACAGAATTTAGTGGGTGCATGTTGTCCACCGTTCCTTTGTTCTGACAATTACAATTATCATTCACAAGCCTCAACAAACCCACGGTGGTCGGTAAGCAAATTTTTATTACCAATACCTCACAAAGGATAACACATGGCCATCCGTTCTTTGTTTTCATCATTCCAACTCGCATCATTATTCTTCTCTTTAAATCTAGTTTTGAATGTGCGTTCCCTTGAGGGTTTTTGTGCGCCTTTTTTCTTGTCTGAGTTTGTTCAAGTCTGTGTCTTCTCAGTCTAGTTCTACAACAACTGCAGTGAGATTTGTGGCACTTCATTTTGTTGAGTGTTAGTTACAAAATAGAACAAAGATACTCATAGTAAGGACTTCACCAAAGATATTCCTGCTCGCGGCATAGAAGTAGGAACTGATTTTCTTTAGGAAAGCTATAGGTAGGAGGGATTTCATTCATGAATCGTGTGAATCGTTATGCTTAACTGAACAGAATGAAGTGATCCTTCAGCTCAAGGTGATGTGTTTTTGGCACCGGGCACTTATAGTCTAGTCCACGCCTCGATTGATACACGTAGCCATGCCAATCTTCACAATTCTCCCGGGTTTTTGACTATTTATGTACATTCACTGAGCAGATCAAGGTGAAAACTATCTATAGAATGTTGGTGACCGTCCGTATCACACCAACTGCAGCTAGAATAAGTGGAGAATAGTGAAATAAGGAAAAAAGGAATAGGTGTTATAAAATTAGAAACAAGTCACATCGAAATCCACAACCTACATCAAAAATATTTTCCGGTTCATATACTTTTAAACAAATTGTGCTTCGATAAGACAGATTACAAATTGAAACCAATCGAATAAGACATGCAATAATTTACCGTCGAACAGGGCTTCGCCGATTTACCCAATCCGACCGCCTTACCTTCTTTTCCATTGACACCGTTTAAATTTTATTATGAAATACAATGCTTTAGCTCAGAACCGCAACGTAGGAGGCGCAATTGCCAGTTCGGTCCTGAATGAGTGGTCAGGTTAGTCTTCTTGCGCCATGAAAACCACTTTGTGATCTGACTTACTATCAAGGGAGTTAACTAAGCTCTCGGTTGTCCGATGTATTCACTGAGAATTAGCATACAGTTCCCCGAGTGATTGATAACTCCAAATACTCACATGAACTACGCCTAAAAGTCCGACAAAATATCATATGTGGTCATTGGTTTGGAGATCATGGAGTAGCAATCTGGACAGACTCACTTTTCTCAGTAACTTGAACCTTTTTTTTCTGTTTAAAAAGAATCCGCGTGCTGCAAAAAAAGAAACACGTCAATTCAAGGATTCTGGAATCCCTGACCAGATGTGTAAGAAAATGCCAGCTGACTGTTGGTCATTCAAAGTGTAAGACCAGCACAGGTCACATTGAAATGATGCTGAGCCGTTCCTGTGAGAAAAGATTCCATACTGCTTCAGGAGAGCGTTCGTTTCATAATACATACATTACAATGGACATGCATACTTTGAAATCATATTTTTCAAGGCCTTCTTGGAGCAGTGGGCTTTTTGAGTGGTTTTGCAGTTTTCCACCAAATCGAAAAAATCGTGATGAAGGAGTGCAGAGGAGTAAGTTTCGTCGATCGTCTCAGTTGGAAAACCTTCCACACATCAGGGCGAAAAGGGACACGTCACAACCATGTCTACTATAATCAGCCATTTTAGAATTTTCTGATCTAAAAATTCGATCCTGACCTAAAAACTTCAGCGCTTCGGGTGTAATGAAGACGATGGAGCGAGAGGACTTGTTAAATAATATGAGCTTAACAAAAATATCCCGTAAAAATTTCGATTAGCACAAAGTAATTTATCCGATGGCCATTTAAAGAACTGATACGACTCACCCGTGAATAAGTGGATTGAAAAGCTGAAAGACTCTCGTGCAAGCTAGAACTATTGAATTCACATCTATCATCAGGTTTGGTAAATTCGATGTCCTGAATATCTTTTTCCTGCTTGACTTTTGAACTAAACCAATTGAAAGGAAAGCTTATAGATGTTTTTGGTTTCGCACTAAGGGTCTCCTTGCTAGCATGAACATCATTGTTATTGGATAGCTTATTTAAAAGTCTCGGGTTGATAGCAGCAAGTTTTTTAAATCTAGGATGGTTAGCTGGCGTGCGCGCCGGAAGCTTGAAATCTGATGATGTTATTTCGACAGGAGAGGAGTTGGTTTGTGAGATCAGGGCCATTATTTGATTGTTGCGCAACTCGTCGGTGACGTTCTATGTATACCCGAAACCAACGTTGAGCTACTCAGTGGAAATGAAAACGAGCGGAACCATTGCGTACAATTTGCCCTCCTATGTAATCTGAGGGGGTCAAAATGTAAATCAGACAAAGTTGTAATAATGTAGGGAATCATCAAGCGGCTTGACGCACAGCTAAGGAACCCTTTTTCATCAAACAACGGAATGATACTCAAGAGGCAGTAAAATGGTGTCCCGTCAGCTTTATAGTTCAGAAGAAGCTCCACGCAGGGGAGTCCCTGCTTCAAAGCTTGGCGGAGACGTTGGATTGATTGCGGACTGGTCCCAGGTCCTAAAGGATCCGTGAACACAAATCCAAGGCATGTTCAATTCGATGTTACTATGACAAGAAGCACCAGAACTGACTTATTTACCTTGTAGAAAGCGGCAATTCATACCAATAATAGAATTTCTGTCATGGCCTGTTGTGCAATTTTAAGATCAGCCTGGTAGGGCAAACATCTCGCCTTATCTGGAAAATCAGATGACGAAAAAAGCTTACCTGTTGTTGCGCTGTTGAATTGATTCCAATTGGGAAATTTCAAAGTTTCGGTTGAGCAAAATCATCACACCAAGCAAATGTTGACACTTACCTAAAGCTGGGTGAAACCATGACCACTGGGTTATCCCTGAGGAAAAGCGACACTTAAGTATGATTTTCCAAGTACGAAATAACATGCCAATTTAGCTTCAGAGCTCACCTAAGACGTGGGTTGGTCACAACAAATGAATCGCCTGAAATTGTTTGACGAATTTTGCAGATAAGTTCGGCTTTTTTTGAGGGGCGGAATGAAAGATTCAAGTTCCTAATTACCTAGACCTTGGCAAGTTTCTTCATCTACGCCGCTGCGCAATTTCATTCTGGTTATCTCAAGGAGCTTGCTGGTTATGAATTGCTGAGAATGATCACTTGTTTTAGCTAAATTCAAACGTGGCACGAAGGAATCGTAGTGATCGAACCTTGAAGGTATCATTGTACAAAGACTCAAGCAGGTATTGGCGACTAGCAACCAATACCTGTGATGAATGCGCTAGGTTGACGGTTTCCATGATGGCTTCACCGTCGAGCCTGTCAATTAGGGTGGTTCGCACACCGCGTTTCCCATCGGACTCGCGGTAATGGTCTGTGGCAGAAACGGGTTGGCACCATACTTTCAGTGAGTGTGAAGATTTTACTTATTTTGCTTACCCAAAAGCTTCTTGGCGCTTTCTTGAGCCTCTACGTGCAGTTGATTGATTCGAGACTCTTCAGTCCAGCGATCTAGCTTCTCTTCCCCTCCTTGAACGACTAACCAATCTCGAAAGACATTACGAGTCTCGGGTTTCGAGAGCATGTAGGTAAAAGATTCGATACTCAGCAACGAGAGCAGACTCGTTTTCATTTCCTCTTCAATGATAGTATGCTGAGGGTAAGAAGTTAATTCTTTCCCATACATTTTTTCGAGCGGAGTATCCGTCGTGACAGTAACACCTGTCGAAGTACTCTGGTTCAGGTTTGTAACACGCGGCACCAAGACACTCGGATCCTTCCGGTCAGTTGACGGATTGAAAATTCTTGAGGGCTGATTGGGAAATTCGAAGCGTTCAGTCGGCTGTCCATGAGTCAATGAGAGTTGCGTTGGTGGGACCGGCCGGTTCGAAGCACTATCGTAGACGAATCAGTGTAAATGATAATGGTTATGAGTTCAAAAAACAGACATCGAAAAAAAAACACTGAACTTCTCCATGTTGGACCCATCATCACTATCGCTTTCACAATCACTCAGGGTTAATGAAAGAGATATTATTGAGGGTACTGGAGAGCAGGCCGTCGGGTAATCGCTGCATGTGACTGTGTGGAAGCAGCATGCTTCTTAGCATTTCTCGCAAAAATCAGCTAGCTTCAAACTGTTAGACACACTTCGTGGGATTCTTTGGGCTATGCTTGAATCGTATGAACCGGCTCCTGATGAGCTTGAGGCTGTACGTATTCGCGGGTCCTGACAGCCAGTTTTTTGATACCTTGGAATCCTACTTTGGCCTGGTACTATTCCCGACAGCTTTGGCGTCATATCCTAAGAAAAATAACTCGACTTGATCAGCAACTTCAAATATGATTTTGGGAATTTAGCATGTTTCCTGCATGCTTCAACGTACATTCGACTGGCTCTTCGCCAAGCCTTGAGCTATTGGACTCACGGGGCCAAGTGGCGGAACTGGAGTACCAATATATTGATTGGTCTTGGTGGGGGATTGATTGTAAGACATTCTCCACCAAATCAAGTCGCAAGAACCGTAGTTTGCAGTACTAATGGAAAAATGGGTTTTTCATATGCTAGAACGAATGATGAGCTTGAGGTCACGAGAGGAACATTTCCTTTCAATGACCAGTTTGATTATTTAATATGCACGTCGAAACGAATCCATCACCGATGGCAAGACCCGTTTGGACACAGCGGCCCAAGCGGAGGTCGTACGCACCCGGCAGCCGGTCAGACAGCCTGGCGGTGCATGTAAGTTTAGAGCCGCCGATAGGACTTGTGACGCGGCAGACTGAGTTACTCATGTGAATCCATCATTTTTGGCATGGGCGAACAACATTTAGTCTGATTCAGAGTGCCTGCCTGCAAGCCTCCCAGGTCATGGAAAGAGGGAATAGCCGTGAGGGATAAAGCACCTTGTCGGATGGACACGCTGCTAGACTCGCAAATGTGCACCGACCAATGGGCCCATCTTTTGAGATTCAGAAGGTTAAGCACACACCCTGGCCAAGCTATCATTGATCTCCTGGCGAGATGGATCTTTTTTAATGGACTATAGAATCGGATTTGCGTTGGGTGTCCGTCTCATTTTGAATACTATGCTACTTCACGGTGCTAAAACTAGAAAAGGTTTGCACAGCTACAATTCCAGCCCCATTTACTATCTTCATCGGTATGAAGAAACAAACTCCGCTCGCACGGTTTTGTCGATTGATTGATCACAGCGTCGGCTCCCCTTGGTTCGAGTTCCACACCTTTTGCTATAGCGCCATCCAAGCCTTCTGGTGCATTAAACTCTATAAGGGCTCCCAAAGCGACGGTAAGCGCTCCGATGTCATCTGGATTCAGGAGGGTCTTTTGAGATCTTTGGGACTTGAGGCAAAAGCTAAAGAGAAAAACCAGTGTGACAAAATGGAAATGTCCTTAATTCCAGTGTCATGAGTATCATCCTGCTGTGCCTTCAAGGGCCTTTCGTCCATGCAGATGCGTAGACATTTTTTGAGCTCCTAGTCATCAGAAACTTGGCGTTGCATGTCTAAAAAGTAGGGGCTGGAGGCACTTTTAGAGCAAACCACACACAAGCCTCTCAGTGGAGCCCGAAGGGTTCAGGTGGGAAGGAACTTAAGTCTTAGACCAATGCATTCTTGGTATGATGTTCCTCACGAATACGTTCAAAAGCCATCACTCAATAGGCTCATCCCTGTCACAGCTCATTTTTCCGATATTCCTTGTGACCAGTATGCTTTCAAATAGAAGAATTCACTTGCTACTCCTGCGATTTGATTCAAGAAATGCGCTGCAACAAACACATTTGACAGATCAGAAAGACATCAGCTCCACTCGCCTCCACAACCCATCAGTTCGCCAAAGATCCGTGACAGTTACAACCCGCCCCTCAGCCTTTCAACGCACAAACACTATTACATTTCACCACAATGCAACCCAATCCCACTCCTGGTGACTTGGAACCGGTGGCGCCCGGCTTTTTGAAAAATCTGTTGAGCCTCGGGCTTCCCCCACTCCTGGACCCCACGTCAACCTGCTGGGGGATGCAGAACCCGCCGTCCCGGGAGATCTCACAGAATTCCCTGAAGACCTCAATGGTGGCATCAATGCCCCCCTACGACCGCCTCCGGACCGCATTGGGTCTGCACTAGGTGGCTACTTTGCCAGACAACAAGCCTGGTCACTAATGATGGCGACTCTCACTCGTGAACAGCGACTTCACATTCAAGAATATGCCGATGCCGCTACCGCAATTTGGCAGCAGATTGTTAAAAATCCCAACACCCCACCTTTTCAGGAGGCCAAAAAATTCCTGGATAATGTTCCTAAGCTTTGTACACTTATGTGCAGCTTGCCCCAAGAAACTGTTGATAGGATTGACCAATTTTTTGATATGATAGTTGTGGTCATCGTGCAGCGGTTAGGGGAGCGTAATTGCCTCGCTCGGTGACAACAAAACATCAATCCCCCCCAAACCCTGTGATGAATAGCATTGATTACAATTTATTACATTCAATGTTTTGCATGCCATGACATACATTTCCTGAAATGCAATCAGCATTACCCCAGTTCCCTCCTGAAGGCAATTTCCAGCACATTTATGAGTCAAATTTTGACTCATTTGTGACACATAAAGAAGCATTGCCTCATATTTATGAGTCAAATTTGGGGTTATTTGTGACACATGAAGAAGCATTGCCTTCCATCAATTAGGAACAATTGGCAGATTGGTCCAATCTCAATTATGAATGCCCCCAAAACAGAAGCAAATGCCAAAGATGAACCATCATATTGCTGATATTCTAGATTTATTTGCATGTCACTCTGCCTTCACAAAAGTCAAGCCATTCATGTCATCAAAAACAAATCAATAAAATTAGTAACCACAAATTTGAAGTAAAAAGAACAAAAACCAAGATCCCAGCAGGAGTCAAACTTAATAAACAGACTTTTATTTGCTTCAAAGTGAACCAACTTTGGTCAACTATGGAAAAAAATTCACATTGAACAACACTCCATAGATGCTTAGTCCCTGATTTGTGATTATCCTGTCTGTAGAGGCCTGGATGTTGGACATGAGCTGAAAAGGTAATAATACACATGGGTGCACCTCCTAAGACAATCAGAATGTTATATTGCCCACCAATCCAAATACAAAATGTGTTGAAATCTGAGGTTTGAGAAGGAGAGAAGATTTTGAACGGACTCTGGTGTCACTTTTTGAAGGGCTAAAAAGTGTTCAAACTCAGATTAAGAGGAGAAACAATGTTTTTTAATTTCTTGTACTAGGCTAGGTTAAATAGACTAGATACAGGAGTTTGAGCTGTGGTTGTGAAGAAAATGAACAAGAAGAAAATGAATAGAAACAAATGATATAATCCAGAATAAAGAAGAGGGTACAATAATCAACACCAGAAATGAAGCATCTGCAACCTAGTACTAGTAGATAAGCAGAAACACATGAGAGAAATTAGGCCCTCCTTAGTTGGGGTTCTAAGACTACAAGCCAGGGGGTTTGAATTCATAACATGGGGATAAGTCAGACTAAAGAGGAGGAGTTATCATAGTGGTTATGGAGTAGATCCTAATGATCATTTGAGACAGGAGGAAGAAGTAAGAAAATTTAGAAGAGAGGAAAGGAATAGAGACAAAATTACAGCAGTACAAAGTGCTCAACACTTTCAAGTGCTCCAGGATATCCAGAAATTAACCCACATGGGACTCTGGAGGAAAGCCTGCTTGAGGACCAACATCTGAGATTTTATCTGGTTCTAAACCACTCAAAAATAGGTCAGACATCCTTTGATTTCCTGATCTGAATTGATTGGCAGCATAATACCCACCAGGAGGCTCATTGAATTCATTGAGAATTCAAAACACTTTCTATTCTCTTCACATCATACACAAATCATTTGTTTTCTTTGGTCTTCTTTTTTGTCTCTCTTCCTTTTCCTCTTTGTTATCTCACTCAACTTTCTTTTATTCATTGTTTTGCACTTTGCTAATTATGTGAACTAAAAAGTTAAACACACACACTTGTCTACACATTAGTCAATTTTCACATTGTGCAATGCCAATTGCAACATCACTCTTTGAAATGGAAAATAATTATAATTATACCCTTATTCATTTTTCAAAAAACAAAAATTCATTGCATTCTTTGGTGAACATAACATGCAATCATAAGTTAAGGAAAAACATCTCATTTTTTCTCATGAGTGTTTTCCTTCTGAGAATGAATCAATATATTTAGGGCCTATAAATTTTGCCAATTTCCAGATCAGTTTCCTATTTTCAAATTGGAAATTAAATCTATGCCATGGTGTACCTTTCATCATCCTTGATTTCCTAATTTTTAGTGCAAACCCAGAATTGCATTTTTGGTTTGTGAAAAAAAAACATTCAAAATTGGCATTGTCAATTTGCCTGGGTGCTATGTTCTATACATGCCGGCATTTTTGGATGCATGGTCCAGAGTGGCCCAAAATATTTCAGACCTGTTTTCAACTTTATCTTGCTACCAGAAACTTTGCTACCAGAAACTTTTAACTAGATGATTAGCCAATTGGAGCTGCCTATTGCAAACCGGGCCAATGGATTTTGTTGAGTTGAGTGGAATGGAGTCCAGTGGAGCTGACCAAGAGTTGAGCATAGATATTCAAGAAATGATTGATGCTTATGTGGGAATCACCACCATGTCACAAAAAAAACAATCATGCGCAGAATCAAACTTGGCCATTGTGTTTTATCATTTACTCCCATAAAAAAGATACCAATGTGAAAGGGAAAAAATCAATCCCACATCCTAAACACACACTTATGTAAATCAACTTGATGCAACATTTCAAGTCAAATCACACATTTGTGATGAGAATCAATGTAAACATAAATGCATAATAATAAGATTGCCAGGTAAATTTAATGAGTTGAACATGTAAATGAATCTATATACAGATACAACAAATATACAACATCTATATATGTATATATTTCAAAAAAAAAGGTTGATGATATGGATGATGATGGTTATGTAATGTTATGGACATCCAATTTTAAATATATATAAAAAAACAATGTAGTTATGTGGATGGATGTATGGATGTGAGTGTAGTTGAAGAAAACCAAAACAGAACAACAAGTTATAAAGAGAAGGAGAAAAAGATGAGAAACAAAAATACATTATATGAGAAAATCGAACAAAATAACACAAAAAGAAAAGAAAATCCCTATATCAATAAAAAGACAAAGTTAAAGAAAGATCTACAAAAAAGAGATGAAGAGAAGAAGGCATAGAATGAGGGGAATTAAAAGAACTGCTGCTGGTTTTGATTCTGATTATGGATATGCTGATGCTGCTGAAAGCGAAGATTCTGATTAGGCGAAGGAGACGAAGAAGGGGGAAAATTGTTTGGGGAAGGAAAGGATTGATTAAGATGATGAGAAGAGGAGATTTGAGAGTAATGGGACGAATGGAGATCATCAGCGAGCCCGATTTCCTGGGAGTGATTGTGGAGATCTTCATTGATACTCGAAGGAGGAGCCATGCTCGAAGGAGCCAATGAGCCGCTCTGTTGGCCTATTGACTGGTGTGGATGATACTGCTGCTGTTGTTGTTGTGGATGCTGATGCTGGTGTTGGGAATGAGAGTTACAGGTGATGAATTCCTCGGACATCCATCCCGATCCTCCCGAATGAGCACTCAGCGGAGGCTGCTCATCATCCAGCCCGAATCGTCGCGGCTGCTGCTGTTGATACTGTTGATGTGGTTGTTGATGTGAATGATGATCGAGTTGGGAACGAGGAGGGGATCCAAAGAGAGAATAAGAGATCTGCGAATCACGAGCCGGTTGCCGTTCCTGTCGGATAGGAGTTTCGCGCGGAGACGGGGCGGGGGAACTAGTAGCCAGACCACTGTACTGATAATAAGAGCCGATCGATCCGCGGCGGTCGACGACATGGGCCTGTTGATCGGAAGGATAGCCGACCAACCCGGCGGTTGTCAAGCCATCCATCCGGACTCGGTTGCTCGAGTCATCGGGATGAGTGGTGGTGATCGAGGGCACATTGCTGGAAGGATAGTCCGGCTGGACTGCCGTCATCTCCACACTGTCTGAGCTTTGGTGATGGTACCCTTTCGCCATTGCTTTTCGGTTCACCGATCCCGATCTGCCCATGGCCGTCAGCGCTGCTGCTGGAATCGTCGCTCCTCCTCCTGCTCCTCCTCCGCCACCGCCGCCGTTGCTGCCGCTGCTGCCAGGTGCAAGGACATATGGGGGCGAAGAAGATTGGGGCTGGGTAGATGGTTTTTTGGTAGAAATCTGATCAGATTCCAATCTATCCAACTTGTCCTTTTCGATGACCTGTTCGATCAGCTTCAACTGTCTCATATCTTCTTCTAAACCAGAGTGAGTATGCTGATTTTTATACGATTCACCGATGATGATTTCCCTGATGATATCCGAATCTCGAGGCCAGTATTGGATTTGAAGGTACTTGTAAACCGCCCTGGGTAAGAGTGAGAGAACTTGAACGAGTATGAATGAGGCCCAAAATTCGATGGTTGAGAATGTGTAGAGCACGACATCTTTGAAGTAAAATTTCGATAGACCTGAATATAAGGCTGTCCAAACCAAGACCAGAGTGGATGAGAGGGTGAGGACGATGATGATAAAGGTAGGAAAGTATCGAGTATTGATCGCGATCAAGTTGTTGGCTGCAAAGACCGTCCCACAAGCGACGGTTGCACCGAATTCCCAGATACTTACGTCCCTGCCGGTGACGGAGACAGTCGTCGAATGAAAATAAACGAAATAGGGAATCCAAAACGAAACGATTGATTGATAGGTACCATCCAACATATAACACCAAAACTTCAATCGGGTATATTGTAGGCCGTAAATCCCACGTTTGTAGAGGGCCGGGAAGGCCATCGAAGCATTCGCACTGAGATCTTGTTCGAAGGCGCCCATCAAGCCGACCGGTAATGAGGTGAAGACTAAGTTGAATAACATGATGAATGTATATTCGAAGAGATAAGATCCATTAAAACTACAATAGATTTGATACCAAAATAAAACTAATGTCCAGATTATGTTCTTGAAGAAAAAGTTTGCATGCATATCCGCAATCCTAATGTAACACCATCTTCCGTGTACTAATAATAGTTTCGTTAAGAATCTGAATTGTCCAAGTGCGTAATCTGCTGACATTGATGCTTGTGCACCTTCTAGTCCAGCGATGCCTACTCCAATATGAGCTTCTTGAATCATCGCGACATCATTAGCACCTAATGGATGTGATAACCCAACAGTAAGTAAACAAATTCCGTCAAATAGAAAGGGGAAAGGCCATGCTGCTTACCATCACCAATCGCCAACGTCATGGCATTTTTGCCCTCTTTGACCAATTTGACAGTCAAAGCCTTTTGAGCAGGTGAGACTCGACAACAAACGACAGTTTCACACTGAACGGTTAGGGCCAAGAAGTTGGCCTTCAGGGAGCCGTCCAAAGCGTATCTCAGAGTATCACCATCGATCACGACTGCATAGCCACCCTTGGGTCTAGGTGAGGGGAAGACGGCTCGACTCTTGCGCCTTTCGTTCGGATGACTCGTCGAATTACCAAGATGCTCATTCTTGTTAGTTTTGTCAATCGAATGAGACCCTCCGTCGTTTCGATCAAGTGAGTCAGATCCACCCCAATGGCCAGTCGATGAAGCCGACCCCGAAGAGGTCGATAGTAGTTTTTCAAGGCCCTGTTCGATTTGAGAGCGCGTACCGGCCTCGGTATCTGAACTGAGGATCATGATCTCCATCGTATTCTTCAACAAGTTACAGCTGTAGCCGATCTCGATTGCCGTCTGAAGTTTATCTCCAGTCAGGATCCACAGTTTGATTCCAGCCTCATGTAGCTTCTCGATCGCTTCAGGAACTCCGACCTGTAATTTATCTTCGAGGGCCGTTGCGCCCAGGATTTCTAAGCCACGTTCGAATTCATCCGCGACTTTCTCCATCAGTTCTTCCCGATCTTTACCTGGACTATCAGATGCTTGTTTATACTCCTGTTGGAACTCTAGATATTCTTCTTCACTGACTTCACGGCTGGCGATTAGCAATGTTCTCAATCCGTCCGAAGCAAAGCTTTCAAGATCGGTGTTCACTCGACGTTTCAGATCTTCATCTTGATCAGGTTTTAGACGCGACATGATGATACTATCCGCACCCTTGCAGAGCAATCGAATCTTGCCATCTGGACATCGGACGATCGTGCTCATCCTTTTACGAGAACTGTTGAAGGCAATCATTTGAAGCATATTATACCGCTCCAGTTGACCCATGACCTGAATCTCCACCCGGTCACCCATCCTCCGAAGGAACACGAACCCTACATCTCTTGCCCCTGCGACTAGTGCAGCCTCATCAGGGGATTCGGCCTTATATTCGATTTGATTCGGTTCAAGATCGTTTCGACTGGAGATCACATCATGACAGATCGCTAGTGTCTTCCAAAAATCAATCATCCTTTGTCGATGTACTGAATTACTTGATTCAGTATTTGTCAGATCTTCAATCAGCTGAGGAGAAATCAAGGTGAGTTGAGATGGATTGAGGTGGGCGTGTTTGAAGGCTTGTTGCATCAGATCAATCATTCGATGTTTGGAATCCAGAAGGGCGGCCGAATTGGTCACCGGATCGTCAATCGCAGATGAGTCAGCTTGTCTTCTCTTTGCGGCACCAACCATGGCTTCTGTGACTCCTTCACCGTAAGAGATTCCAGAAATCGAGCATCGTTGGAACTCCATGACATTTTGAGTCAATGTACCGGTCTTATCACTGAAGATGTATTCGATTTGGCCTAGGTCGTCTGATAAGTTCCATGACTTGGGTTCTGCCGGACAATTGAGGGGTTCGTAGTACATTTCAATATCCCGAAAGATTGTCAAGGCTTGGATCGAGCGGACGAATTCCAATGTGATTACGAGTGATATGGGTACGATCGACTGAAATAGAATTAAGGCGGCTCTAATTAAATGGTCATCATGCAGATTCAAACATGAGTCAAAATTCATCGCATATCTCTCGTCTAAAATGTTGGCAAAACAAAAAAAACACTAACCCAAACGTGACCAGGGCATCCAAAATCGCATTTGAGGATACACTAGCACCCACCTCAAAGAAAGTCGCACTGGTTTTGACAGTACCCTGAAGGATACCATCCCCAATTGCATTGATTGTACATAGTACGATGAGGACGATGAAGTTGACGATGACTGCATAATTGGTTTCGCGTGAGATCTTGGGTTTTTTTGATGGTGTATCACCTAGACAGTTTTGTTGAAGAAGAAGAGATTACTAAATACGATCATCTCTACATTTGTAAGCCTCAAAAAAAAAAAGGGGAAGATTACCTTGATTGAGCATGATCTTAGTATCTTTTCCAGTGAAAATTACCAAGCCAATAACCCACTGAGTATTTCGAAGCGTACAGCCTCTCAGTAGGATCTCATTAATCCCGATCACTTCCTTCTTTTCTGATCCTTTCTTAAGTTTTCGGCCTTCAGTGAGAGGGTGTTCCCGACCTTCGGTTTCGTCCTTAGTCCAATACTTGACGCTTGCATTGAATGCATAGAGGTTAGCATTAGGGGCTTCAGATTCGACCACGAAGTGAGAATGTTCTACGTCTTCCTCATTTCCGATCGACCTGGTGGTCTTACACGCTCTTCGAGGTTTTAGGTTTGTCTCACCATCCAAGTTCTTAGTCTCCACGAAGCATTGTCCATCTGGGTCTGATGTACTTAGGACGACGATATCCGCTGGGATCGCTTCATCCTCCCTCAGCAGTAAGATGTCACCCACTTCGAGCTTCTTCCATAGAGTTCTTTCCCACTTGGCCGTGCCAGCAGTCGGTGTCGAATAGTCGACCAAGTCTGATGAGGATCTTCTTCTGGTCGATGAGGGGGGTGGTAGGGATGTTGTGGATCGACCGATTTGATGGGCACTGCCCTCTTGAATGTCACTCAATGCATCATCCGCATCGTCATCATTATTATGATCTCGATAATCTTCTGAGCGTTCCCTCTGAGCTTGATTGGCGCATAGGAAGTCGGTATTAAACGTGTCCTTCTCTCGTTCACGCAATTTCCTGACACCTTTGGTGATCTTCTGAACCTGACCAATCGAATCGACTACGTGTTGATTTTTTTCCCAAGGCCATTCAAAGTTCTCCCACCAGGTTCCACCACCTGCCTTGGGTACGTTGACGTTCTTCCAATCACCTAACCTCGTGCAAGCTGCATTATTGACACTATTGTCGAGCATATACCGTCGATAATCTTCGAATGCATCCTTGAGCGCGGTGACTGAGAGGATGAAGACGAGTGGTAACATGGCTACTTGTGGTGTTGCGGCGCCGAAGACTGGGAAGACTTGAAAGATGATGAGGACCAAGAAGTAAATATTGGCGACATTTCTGAATTGTTCCCACATGTTCTGTGACCCCGAAAAAACAAAGAGAGATCGGGTGTGTCAGTCCTTCACGATAGGGTTAGTTGAATGAGAGTTGGGAGCGTACCTTTGGTATGAAGGTGATGATTGTATACTTGGTTGTCCGGACCTTATTACGGACGTATGTTGCGATTGGATCGCCGTACTTGTCGACCTGAACAGTGGGTAGGACTAGGTTGACATAGATCGAACGGCGTTGCTGTCTTGATGCATCATTCTGTTTACGTTGTAGATCGGCAGCAGGGGAGTCTTCTAGTTCTTTTAGATTTCGCGTATGTTCATCTTCTGCTTCTTCTTCGTCCTGATCGAGTTCAGGTGCGATTGGCATGGGCGGGATGAATTTCTGAGTGGGTTGTTGTGGGTTAGCTTGTGAGGATGATGATGATGATGAAGGATCATGATGAGTGTTGTGCTTGAGTGCAGGGTTGAGTTTACTGGATAGTTTTGGGTTGAATATTGAGCTGGGTAGGATTGGATGTTGCTGTAGGTTGGCGAGTAGGTTATGGTGGGGGTGATTATTGCTTGAGTTGAGGGTGGATGATCTGGATGAGATTCGACGGGAGAACTTCTTCTTGGTGGGGTCGAGGTTGAGTTTGGTTCGGTTCTTCTTGGCCAGCCTCCTCCGGTCATCCTCCGAGATAGCTTCATGGATCGTTTCAGTTGCCGAGCGAGTAAGTCTGAGGTGTTGATCAGGGTCGTTGAATGAGATGAGTTCTGAGTCTAGATAGTAGTCCGTCTCATTATAGTCGTTCTCGGCATCTGGATAGAGTGGAGCAGGTTGAGAGGGTGGGTAGAGGTTTCTTGCAGATGGGTTGTGGTGTTGGTTGTGCTGGTTGTTGAGTGGTGGGTTCGATTGGGATGATGATGAGGAGGCTGAATGTCGATGCATGGTTTTTTGTGTTTTGGTGATGGTCAACAGCAGCAGCGCCAGTTGTCGAAGAAGGAGAAGAAGAAGATCAGGAAGCTGCACCAGAACTAGGGGGACTATAATAGAGTGGTGGACTATTAAGGAATGGGTAATTTGCAACTGCCCGGCCGACGGTGGTGATGATGTGTTACATAAGCCTCTCGACTCGTCTGCTTCGGGCCGGCGACAGCAGCCACCAGAAACGAACAAGACCCCCTGAACCATAACAACCATCTCACCCAATTGGGCAATTAGCCTATCAGACCTACTCAGGATAGTCGAAGCAACTGTCCATCAAGCGATCTCCACCTCAACATGAACTTGATCACCATCAAAAAGCATCATCATCATCAACCATCAGGCATCAATCATCAGGCATCAATCATGGGAAACTTTAATCGAACTGAAAATACAAACCCATTTGGTCACAAGACTGCGATCATGCTCCAATTTAGGAAAAATAATCATATATACCCTCATAGTCAACTATAACTGTTGACATATAACACACTTTGCTCAAAAGATAAACCCTATTTTGATTAGTTTTTCTTGAAAGAGAAACATCAAGATCATCAAAGGAATTCAGCCCTCATGATCTTCGGTACTTTTGACATTTCAAAAAAAAAAACAAAGACTCATTAACTGGCTTAGATGTGTAAATCAAGAAACTTGCTAATCTGAACTTACCAACAATCTATTGTCACAAAAGATATCTCATAGAATCATCAATCCATGAACTTTGTTTTGTTTTCTTGCAAACATTCAATGCCAAATTCAACAGTAAAAGAAATATTGTAAGATTTATGAATGATTAATTCAAGCAGGTACCATATTGTTAATTGTTTTTGCCCCAAATGTGAGTGGGTTTTACTTGATGACCTTTTTCCCCTTTTGGGGGTGTTGCTTGAGTTGGGCACCTGTCTCAGTCTAACGTCGGTGTTGTCAAATTTGAATTGGAGGTTGACACCAGTGTTAGATTGCATGACACTTTGTTTGGCTCTCTGAGCCTATTCTTTTAGTTATATTTAGATAATTCTTAGAAAATTACTTCCCTTTTTTTGCCCTCAAATATCACATTGATGGATGATTCCAATTATGGTCAAAAATTGCTGCTCAAAAACATCTGGATCTGACCAAAAGAAGATCTAAATTGGACATCGCTTGAGAATCATCATCCTGTTGTTCAGACCAAGCATCCTCAGCCAAAACATACATTATGCATATGTAAACTCAGCTAGATTATATACACAGACCATCAAATTTGATACTTGTTTATAACAAACAGATCTTGATCAAAATCCTTTAATGTAGTAGCAATAGAACAACAACCTCAAATACTGGTAATTCTAAAAAAAAGTGTGCCATTATCAATTCATAATCCATTCATTTGAAGTTCATGATACTGATAAATACACTCTACTCAACTCTGGCAAGAGAAACAAACACAAAAACAACTTAGTTTTGATTTGATTTAATTTCACAATTCACAAGATGTTTTTGGATTCTTTGAATGATCTCTCTGTTTTGATTATTATTGTTATGATTAAGGCCCTGTTTGGCCGCAAATCATGATTTTTGATTTGGCTAAGGTTTGTCTCAGATTTGGACCATGTTATATATTAAAACAATATAAAATTTTTGCACAAACTCCCACCAAACCTTGCCTCAAAATTACAAATTAAAGACGGCCAAACGGGGCCCAAGATCACATGATCAAATCATTCTAGACAGGAACAAGTAAAAAGATAGGCTGATATTAACACTGAATTCCAATCTGTCAGCCTATGTGATGCCAAGAGCTTGTCTCTTCTAGCTACACAAGGTTCAAATCAAGAAAATAATGGGTACAAGTGTGGGTAAGACTTGAGATGGGGAGTTTTTAATGTAAAGAAAAGAAATAATAAAAATTGTTAAGTTTTTATAAAGGGAGGGGCCTGAGTTACAGGGGGTTTTATGGTGCCCTCCAATGAATCAGGACCTGTTAAACAGGGGAACTTTTGATGTAACTGATGATCTGGTCCTTTTATAAAAAGGAGTATGCCCAGAATAGAGATCGTTTGTCGGTACCCGTTGCTAGGTACCTAGTTGAAGAAATTTGAGCATATAAAGGGGAAGATCGGCAAGCCAATAGCAGACTAAGTCTGAAGTATTTAACCTGAATCTTAATTGAGGAGGCTTAAGTGTCCTCACAATAAGACTTCGAGGAGGCTCAAGTGTCACTCAAAGGACAAGTTTGGTCAGAACAGATGATTTTATTATTGCCAATCATCAAGCAGTCTTAAGTAATCTAAGTACATCATGATCAAGTTGTGGTTCTCTAATGATGCATACTGGATAAGAAAGATAAAATAATCATGCAAGATGACCAGCTAAAGAATGAGTGATAGGTTCAAGACAGAGAAAAGAAAAGCAATGACGAGTGAAATTCCAACACTAGTACCGCTTGGCGGGTACCGCCCGCACCCGCCTCGCACCCGCCAGGCGGTGCCAGGTGCCGGTGTAAGACTCAAAAAGTGGTTGTAAGAACCTTTTTGCTGAATGGAGAAGGGGATGGTGGAGGTACAAGCTCTGCCCTTCTATACTATCAGATAACAAGACCCACCAAGCTCAGCTTGGCAAGTTTTAATCAAGTGATAGGGTAAGTTCAGGAATGAGTTTGTGTGATGCTGAGGAATGAGTTTGGTTGTTCTTGGTGATTGGTAAGGTTCTGTAAAGGTGGTGTATCTTTGATTGAGTGGTACTAAACTGTGACTGATGAATAATACACTGCGGAGACAACAAATGGGAGGAGAGCCTCCTTATATAGAAAATAGTGAGGGAATTTAGCTCCAGGGCAGCCAGTAATGAGTGATTTTGGCTGGGCTGGGCTATTACATGAGGTATTTTAGCTACATACATAAGTTGAATGAGTGAATGTGATTGGTCAGTACAAGAGTTAAGTGGGGAGCCAAACAGCTGAAAGAGTGATTCTGATTGGTCAGGTTCTGTTGTGTTTACAAGTAAATGTGGTGGTACCACCTGCAGCTTTCATGCAAGGAACATACACTAATTTAGGCTGCAGGTATGATGTAATATGTAGAAGTGAAATGTAAAGAGTGTAGATGTATGTGAATGAGTGTGTATGTAAACGAGTGTGTATTTAAATGAGTGTGTATGTAAATGTGAGGCTGTACAGTACTGAGGGTGTCTGTGTAGGTTGAGTGTTGTAATTGTGATTGTTGACATGTACTTGATGGTTGAAATACCTGTGATGTGTTGTCCATCGTGGGATAATTGTTGATCCAAGTGTGTTCCAGTGACGCCTCCATGGTGACCAAGGGTGAATTTGTCTGTAGAGTCTAGTTCTTGAGCCGTATGGTGTGATTTCTGAGAGAGATTGGGTGATAATATGAAGAAAATATATGTATAAGAAAAGAAAGAAAAAACTTTTAATTCTTCACATTTTTGCCTACCACACCGGTTTTTTGGCAAAAAAAGGGAGGTACCCAGGTACCACTACAGCAACGCTGTCACAGATACGGTATCTGCCATGTATCTGCCATGTATCACTATGTATCTGAGCCCCAATAAAAAAACCTATCTGACCAATCTGCTTTTATTTGCAAGGAGATTCAACAAATTTGGTTTTTGGCCATGCAGCTTTGCAGAATTCTCCATGATACATACAGTGTATTGTATCTGTGACAGCGTTGAATACGGGTACCGCCCCTGTCAGCCTTAGAGATCCTCAAGAGTATCCAAAAGACTGCTTAATAATATATTACTTGTAATAATAATAGGAAAACCTAGAATATAAAGGGCCTTAATAAAAAAACGCGGTTTTGGCTGCGCGCAGCACACGCAGTTTCCGCATTTAGACGCGGTTTTTTAATTAATTTTTTACGGCTTATTTTTCGAGTTTTTTCGAAATTTTAAAATTTATTCCTACACTATGAAAGGTGTAGAATTTAATGGTAAAGTCCATTTTCCATAAAAATGAATTTTGATTATTAATTTTTTTTTTCCACTTATTTTTCAATTAATTGTTTGCATGCATGTATGTACCTTATTTTTTATGCTTTTTTGAAATTTTAAAATTATTTCCTAGGTTTCAATGTGTGTAGAATTTAATGGTGCAATCCAATTTTTTTAAAACTCAACGGTTCATTTTTAGACCCATTTTTTCACTTAATTTTTTACAGCTTAATTCTCATCATTTTTTGACATTTTAAATTTATTTCCCACACTTTAAGACATGTAGAAAATGATGGTAGCAACCATTTTTCCCCAAAATGAAAACTATACCTTGAATGCCGCATTTGACACGTTTTTTTTAATTAATTCATCACTTTTTCACTTAATTGTTTGCATACATGTGTGTACCTTATTTTCTATGCTTTTTTGAAATTTTAAGATTGTTTCCTACATTTAAAAGTGTGTAAAATTTAATGGTAACATTCAATTCCCATAAAACTCAACGGTTCATTCTGGATACTGTAATTAGTCATATTTTTCAATTGATTTTTAAGAGCTTAATTTTCATTATTTTTTGACATTTTAAATTTGTTTCCTACACTTTCAAACATGTTTAAAATTATGGTAACAATGAATTTTCATCAAAATGAAAACTATATCTTGAATAATGCCTTTGACGTGTTTCCTGAATTAATTCTTACACGCTCAATTATCCTTATTTTTTGGAATTTCAAGCTCATTTCCTACACTTTTAAAGGTTTCAAAATTGATGGCTGTATCGATTTTGCATTCAAATAAAATTTGTATATGGTACAAATTATGCAAGAAACAGGGTACGCTCATCTATTAAGGTTGAAGCTTGTATTTTGAGTAAAATTGGACTTCACCATTCAATTCTAAACATGTGTAAATGTAGGAAATAAATTTAAAATAAAAAAATGCTTAAAATCAGGCCGGTAAAAATCAATCAAAAAAACATTAAAAAAAGCCTGTCCACTGCAGTATTCAGTAACAAGCGCTGATTTTTATGTAAAATGGTTGTTACCATCATTTTTATCATGTATTAAAGTGTGGGAAATAAACTTAAAATGTCAAAAAATATTGAGAAATAACATGTAAAGAATTAATTGAAAAAAGTGTCTAGTTTCAGTATTCAAAATGAACTGTTGAGTTTTAAGAAAAGTGGATGTTACCATTAAATTCTACACACTTTTAAATGTATGAAAAAACTTTAAAATTTCAAAAAAGCATAAAAAATAAGGTACACACGTGTATGCAAACAATTGAGTGAAAAAGTGAAGAATTCAATTAAAAAACGGTGTCAAATGCGGCATTCAAGGTATAGTTTTCATTTTGGGGAAAAATGGTTGTTACCATCATTTTCTACATGTCTTAAAGTGTGGGAAATCAATTTAAAATGTCAAAAAATGATGAGAATTAAGCTGTAAAAAATTAAGTGAAAAAATGGGTCTAAAAATGAACCGTTGAGTTTTAAAAAAATTGGATTGCACCATTAAATTCTACACACATTGAAACCTAGGAAATAATTTTAAAATTTCAAAAAAGCATAAAAAATAAGGTACATACATGCATGCAAACAATTAATTGAAAAATAAGTGGAAAAAAAAAATTAATAATCAAAATTCATTTTTATGGAAAATGGACTTTACCATTAAATTCTACACCTTTCATAGTGTAGGAATAAATTTTAAAATTTCGAAAAAACTCAAAAAATAAGCCGTAAAAAATTAATTAAAAAACCGCGTCTAAATGCGGAAACCGCGTGTGCTGCGCGCATGAGCCAAAACCGCATCAAAACGCGGAAAAACCGCGTTTTTTTTTATTAAGGCCCTTGAAAAAAAACAATTTTATTTTTTATTTTTCACAAAATTTGAAACTTTGTTTTTTGTTTTTATTTTTTCATATTCACTTTTTGCGACCTATTCTGCACCACTTGACCAAGTCTCATGAATTCAATCTGGTGCTTTGAAGCTCTGGGATCCAAAACAAGCAGCCAAAAATAATGGTCCACCCACTGTACATTGAGAATCTTGTATAGGGCTAGAACCACAAGTTGGCCATTTATAGATTATAGTTTAGGGCTAGAACCACAAGTTGGCCATTTATAGATTATTGGTTAGGGCTAGAACCACAAGTCAGCCAGGTTGTAAAATAGCCTATGTAAGGAGGGGCTTTCCCCCCTCATTCCAACTTTGGAGCATCTCATCATCTCATCACAACAGATCATCATCTCATCTGATCATCAACAAGACAGAACAGAGCAATGAATCCATACATTAACCAGTGTGATCTTAATCAAGTACCCCATTGAGATCATTCAGACATTGAGAAGCATAGGAAAAAGAAAGTAACAACCAGTACAACTTGTGATCTTAAACAAGAGGCAGTGATCTTAAACCATTGTGCTCTCAACCAAGATTTAAGGAGGAAGGGAAAGACACTTTCAATAGTCACATTTTCCTCAATATCATCTCATAAATTCCCATTCATCATAAGTACATACGTCAATCATTTTTCAAAATACATAAACATATAAACAAAAACACCTCTTACTCAACATTTCCACTCAAATAGTCTGCTGAATCCACATTGATCTAGGTTTGATAAGAGACTGCTACACATAGTTTTATCTATCATCAGTCTTGCCACAACAATAAATAAATTGTTGTGTTAACTCTAGTTTAGTACAATAGAGGGGCAGGTCTTTCAAACCAGCCGTAACAGTTGTAGTAGATCATTACATAAGTGATATATCTCATCTGCTATTTCCCCCTCACAGGAATGCCACCATTCCCAAAGAAGTTCTCACACCGTTTACGGTGACTTTTGGGATTCCATAGAGACCAATCCATTCTGATACAAACCAGTCTGCAACTGACTTTGATTTTAAATTTGTCAAGGCAGTTGTTTCCACCCAGCCAGAAAAATTGTTGGAAATGCTGGTCTGAACATCCTGGTGGTTGCTTTAGTTCCCTCAGATATATATCTATTCCCTTCCATATTCCACACTGGGAGTTGTCCAGATCCATGATCTTAATCATTGATACAGAGAGAGGTTTTGTCAGCCTCTGGGTAACTAACCTGAGTGTTTTATAGTAAAAGGTTGTTACTATGAGTTGACTGAAGTGTTTGAGTGTGGTGAGTGGTAGGTAGTGGGTGTTTAATACCATTCCTGTAATGAGGAGGTTTCACTCTATCAGTATGGTCTGTGCTGAGAGGCTTGCTATCAACAGCGCATCCGGATCAATACTTGGTATTAATAGGCATTTTCAGCTTGTTACTGACTTGTTACTGAAATCAGAACAAACTGACTAACACCTCAATAAACACAAGAGACTGTTTTTTCTCTAAGTTAAATATGTATTTCTGTTATTGTTATTTTTATGAGATATTTAATGGATAAAATACTTTAGAATTAAAATTAATTATTTGAGTTGAATTACTTAAGAATATGTGACATGACAAGTAAGAATGGCATTGGAGCGCGCGCTAGAGAATCTGCAGCCACAGCAGAAATTGAACTGGGATCCTCGCGTCATCTCCAGCGAGCATCCTTAAGCCTCACTAAGTAACGAGACCAACATCGAACCTCGCCCGTCATGACCTCATCGATATGGAACAAGCATCGATGGCCAGAAGCGGCTAGGATTTCCCATACGCTCCCAAGGACCCATCGAACGAGTATAAAAGGAGGCCTCGGATGAAAGTAAGAAGGGGACCAGATATCAATACCGGAAGACAACTTTTTCATCATTTTTTCTTATAAACTTCCAAACTGAATAAACTAACCTTTTGAACTCTTTGCTTACATTACCAACAGACCCTACCAATTTAAACCTCTTTGACTACGTGCCCCTATCGCCGTCAAACCCATTTGAATCACCGTCTGGAGTAAGCTCTCAAGAGCTAAGGATCCGCAACCGTAGAGGATACAGCTGAAAAGCCTTTCATCAATCTCAGTAAGTGCTATCTCCTCGAGCGCGTTACCTCCATCCACTCTCTCTACTCAAGACACAGACTACCACCCCTAAGATCTCTAGGACCTGTTGTCGAGCTTCTCACTTTCCCGCTTGATA